AAAGAAAAGTTTACAAATATTTATTATGTATTTATAACACCAGTTTCTTTATATCTAGCAGTGATTGAATATTAGAAGACTACTGTAAGAGTAAATGTTATTAGAACATTCAAAGAATGGAAAGGTTATTAGGAACTTTAGGAAAATATTTTTAAAACAATTTGTATATTATATTACATATAGTAATGTACCAATAACAAACTACTATCCTATGTTAGAACAACTATCCAATACCTATAAACTTCACCTTCAATTACCCCAATCTAAGGCAAATAAAATCAAGCTTAAATGCGAACGGACACACCTCCGTTAGTGGCTGAACTTCTAGCCAGCGGAGACATCTAGATTTCCACGGCCGATGGCCACTTTGTTGCAACACAATCGCGACCTCGATGGAGTTTTCCGACTGGCGATGCCAAGTGCATGTCGTTGCCAATCGAGGGAAACACTACAAAAACGTAAAACTTGTCAGACAGCCCAGTAAGTAATAAAAAACGCAGCCGGCAGAAGAAGAAGCCGTCAGGGGGAAAAGAGGAGTCTAGCTGTTCGAGGCCCAAACGCTTGAGTGCATTTTCCAGGCCGACAAACACCACTCACTAGACAACTAACAACTAAAAACTACTTTAACAACAACTAAGACAACAACAACAACAACAATAACCAGCACCGCAAAGGCAACAACCCCTTTGACGGATTCCATCCGAGATGGTGGAAGAAACTATTTAATTATTTTTTATGTCGGTGCACTCTGAAGTTGTAGTTAAAAGGGTGTGTGTCTCATCCTTTTGGGGTTCATTAAAAGGTCATAAGGGAAAACCTTTCAGAGAGCATTAAAAAACTGCAGAAGGATGACTTCATTTCAGTAAAATATTCAAACAAGTTTCAATTGTATTTCAGTATTTAAACATCCCAAGAATATCACATTTCACTTATTAAATTGTCTAAGTTTTTATTAATCATAATTTAAATTTTAGAATTTATTAATTTGAAAATTACAAATTATTTCAAACTTGAAATAAAGTTAGTCAATTTCTGCAATAAATGGAACTGTTTTAGATTCGTATTGGGAAAGGTCGGGAAAAGAGAAGATTAGCAGCAAAGTTTTGGTATTCCAATCTATCAAAATTATCTATAGTTTTCAAAATGATTAAGTTATAACCAAGGCAAGATAACTATAACTTTTACTATGCCTAAAAAACGTACAAATTTTTATTTGTAACAACTTCTCATTTAAGGGATGTTTAAATATTAAAGATGTATTCCAGCACGGGGTAACAATTTTGTTTTAAAAAAAACTCCCTTAGTTTATTCTAATTGAGTTTTCCCAAACTCAGGGAAGCTCTGGGAAACTGGAAATAGGAAAAGTTAAAATTGGACATGCCGCCAAATGTTGTTTTTTGGGGGGTTGCTCATCAAAACAAATGAAATTGTAAACAGAGCAGCAAAAGACCGGCAAAAAGAAAGGAAATGAGAAAGAGCAAAAGAGTGGGGGGCGTTGAGCTGCTCTCTTTCTCTCTGTCTTTTTACCTGTGGTCAGTGTCAGTGTCAGGCGCTCACGCACACGTGAGCACGTAGTGTGTGTAATGCGTGTAGCCTGCCCGATTTTGAATGAATGATGAAGCAGACGGACGAAAAGGAACGGTACTCGCGATGGATGTGTCACCCACCACTCAGAAAAAAAATGTTGACCGCCCCTCCTTACTATCGATTTTTTCCAGCAATGATATGTATGAGTACATGTAGTTTCAAAGTATGTATTTACGCTTACGCGAATGCGACAATGACAAAAACTGAAGCTTTTGCTAATTAGAACAAGTCTTTGATAAAAAACACAAGGGCAAATGTTTTAGCAGATAATAATGATAGAGAGCAGATGGAGTGGACCAGATAGGTGAGAAAGAGTGGAAGGCAGAGAATGCGAAATTATTGTGCTGACTTTGCTTTGATTAGCCGGCCAGCAACTAAGGAATCTTACAGTCAAACCTTCCTTAGCGAAACTCTTTTTATTTAGTTGCTGGTCAATGAGCCGTGTTCTACTAAAATATTTGAACTAAACGATCACCCAGTTGCACAATGGATGGGAAAATTGATGATAGCCCTATGGTCTTTCTAAATAAAATAAAAATGTTTTTTCCAGGAATTTTTAGGGAATATAATTTTTATTATATTTGATAATGGTTTAATGTTCCATTAAAAGTAGAGCACTTTTTAAACAATTTTAATGGTTCCAAACCCCTTATCTGAATCTCTACAGTAAGTTATTTCAACTCACTTCGAATAAGTGTCTAAAAAGTAAATCGGTTTCAATAAAAGATATTTAGTTCACGCTAATCTGTTTCTACTGTAGATAAACGCACCTGCGTCAGAGGGAGCGGGTTGAGACTCACACATGACTCTTGCTCTGACACAGTTTTATAAACAAATTATTTAATTTGTTTACCCGCCCCCGCAACAAAAGGCAGCGGCTGTTAAAAATTCCACTCACACAATCAACGAATGGGATGGGAAACAAGAAGGAACACCCGAAAGGAACAAATAATGGCATTTATTCCGGCATTTAGCACATTGCACTTTGAATTTGCTTAAGGGGGGAAATACAATTAGAAATTTTTTTTTTTCGAAAAATTTTTTTTTGGGGTAATGTATTCTAAATATGTCTGAGAATAAGCCTTTAAAAGCATAAAGCCGTCCGGTCCTTATTTTCAAAGTTATACACAATTTAGTGAGGGTGTGTCATATGGCGGACATGCACAAAAGTAAACTTTAAACGCTTCTCCTGAAAAGTCGTGTTTTCAAAGTCGCCGTGCAATGTACAGGTCAGAGATTTTATTTTAATCGAATGCGGTTTTTTGCATTATGTTTGAAATTAAATTCTCCACACCATGAATATAACAGTTTTTCATACTTGTTTGTTATAACATGTTTTTTTTACAAACAAAGTCGAAAAAAAAACGTTATTTTTGAAATTTTTTTTTAACTTCAAATTTTTTAATGGAAAAATAATTTTTTTCAAATATGGAATAATTCATGGTGTGCGCTGTAACTTTAAGTTTAAAGCCCAGTTGCTGTTTTTTGTTTAAGTCGTGATCCTGGACCTGGAGACTGCACGGCGCAAAGTCCTTCCCTAAAAACACGACTCCACATTATTGATAATAAATGGGCTTAGTTACAATATTTTTCAAAAAACTTGACTGATTTTTATTGCTCAATAATTACCTAATAACATGCAAAAAGAATCGCTAAGATTCATTTAACACCCTACTTGCAATCCACTCCCAAAGATAGCCCACATTTCAGGCCTTCTAATTGTATTTCCCCCCTTAAGTTTGCTCAAAATTTTGGTTGTTTGTGGTTTGCACTGTCACCGCTTTTTGCACAATTTCTTCTTATTTTACACGGTTTCTTTTGCCGTAGTTCGTGACTCATGAAAAGGAGCATTAAAAAGGGCACCAAAAGTGCACTGTGCGAGAACGAGAGAGGGCGCATGTCAGAGAGAGATTGTGGTGGCGGCTACAAGAGGGAGATGGCGAGAGAAAACAGGGAAAGGACGCAAAGAGAGAGAGGGTGGATTTAGTATGTGTATGTGTGTGTTTTAGTGCAGCAAACGTTTTTCATCCTCTTCTTCTTCTTCTACTTCTCTTTTTGTTGTGGCTGCTTCCACTATTTTCCTGTTTTTTTTGCTTTTGCTCCTGCTCTATGTTAATTTTCACTATTCACTGTTATATACACAATATTTTCCACTATTTTTTCGCTCGCAGCGCTTTTCATTTGCCATTGCACTGTTTTTCTTTCATCACGCAACGCAAAAGCTTATAACAATAATTTATGGCAATTTCGTTTGCAGTTTGAATGAACTGCACTTATTTCGCGTTTCTAGTTACACACACTTTACATGGCTGCTAGTTACTTTTGTTGTTTTTGCTGCTGTCGCTTTGGTTGTTGCACTTCTTGAAAAAAACCGTTACACTTGTGCAATTTACCCAAAAACAAAAGAACAGCAAGCAGAAAAGAAGCGGCAGATTTAATGACCCGTCTACACTCACACTATGCAACGGACGCTCACGTTCACACACGGGCACTCTGCTGGGCTGCAAGTGCAACGGGCGCAACAACAACAAACGATTCACGTGCTCACGGTGGCGCAAAAACGGTCTAACTCTTGCGGCCTAAAAAATAAACCCTACAGAGCCTCGATTCGTCCACTTCGAAATCCAAAACAACAATAGGAAAAAATCTTGATACTATATTTGCGACTGCCTACCAAACAGCTCCGTTCGATCAGTTTTGTTTGAGTCAAACAAATTGCCTATCAACTTGTTCGTGCAACAACATCGTAATTTGCTCTCTCAATGTCGGGTAAAAACCGTTCGGGTACGTTCGAATGCTCTCTCGGCTTTTGTTTACCCGTTTCAGACAAGTAAAGTTTATGTTAACCATATTGAAGAAAGCGCCTCTAGCGGGAAAAGAATGCTTGATAAGATTCAGTGGGAGCTCTAATGCTAGCTAGAAGCAATAGTTTCAATTACTTCTATTGCAATTAATTATTAACGCTATGCTTTTCCAAGCCAATCCTTATGGACACCGGTTTCAAGATAACTGATCTCTCGGCAGTCATTTTCGCCCGTTAGAGGCGCATTCTTCAACCAGATTAACAGAAACTTTACATGGGAAAATATTTTCCCAAACGGGTTAACAGAGGACAACGTTTTCCCAAACGGGTAAACTCCGTTGGCATTACCTACAATGAGTACGAGAAAGAAAGCCCGGCGTTCTGTACCCGTCGCTACCGGTTAATGCTCTCCCCCAAATTCGTTTTCTCTCTTTTTCACGCTCTCTGCCGACTGAACAGCTGTTGGGGGAGTGCGTTAAAAGAGCACAGCTAGTTATTTTCAAATTTGGGCTGGCGCGAATTTTAAACAATTTCAAATCATAACTCAAAAAAATTTTTTTATTCAAATTTTATAAATGTTGATGAATTTTTTATAACCATGCAAATAGTATTTTCGCCGATCTATACGGTTTTATTTACTAATTTTCATTAACATTTATAAGGCCAAAGCATTGGTTTTGCCACTTTAATAGCCGTTTCAACTCCAACCAGCTGTTCGATTATTTTCAGAGCAAAATCAAAAGAAGTGCCAGGACCACGGCTAGTAATAAGGTTTCCATCCTGAACCACAGCCTCATCGTCTATATAGCTAGGCAAAGAAAAACATAGTATAGTGAATCTAAAATACTTAAAAGTTTGCATAAATATATAGGTTTGCAACGTTAACAGTATCATCATTTCAGCACAATAATTTTGCTCTACTAAATGCAATTTAATAAGTTTAAAGTGTTCACCAAGGAACCTACCAATAATTGTCCTTCAGTTGGGACTTCAAATCTGGATGCGAAGTGATGGACTTTCCTTTTCCAATTCCGTGTTTTGCCAGCGCAGTGGGAGCAGCACAGATGGCAGCAATCAATCCTGCTTTTGAGTCCTGGCAACGGAGCAAATCTCCAACTGCAGTCGAGTTCATCAAGGCCTTATTACCGGCCAGTCCTCCAGGCAGGACTACCACATCATAGTTCTCTTTGGTCAAGGCCTCTTCAAGCGAAGTATCTGGCACAATTACCACAGATCGGGAGCACTTGACCGGCTCACAACCATCTAAACCCGCCACGGTGACATTGATCTAAACAAAATGGAAGCCACAAAGGGATTATAGATTTTTCCGGTGTTTCTGTTAAATGTATTATAAACCGATCTATCCCAGCAGATAAGGTCAATAAGGCATTCATAGAAAATTTAATTATTATATTATAAAAACAATAGTACCCAATTGATATGTTATCTTCCCTTTTAGGCGGATTTCATAAATGCAATAATGCTGTTTTAATTGTTTAGAATGCAAGTATGTATTAGACAAATCTTATTTTTATCACATTAGCTTTTTGAAATAAGTAAAGACATATGTACAAGCAAACAACTCACAGTTTATTGATCACTTATGGTACTTCTTTCGAAATTTAATAATTCTCCCCAAAAAACTTACATTTCCTCGACGCAGGACATCGGCGGATATGGTAAACTCCATTTCTTCGGCACCTGGAGCCAGAATAATAAGAGCGGTCTTGGCCTCCTGGTTGGATTTGAACCTGGCCAGAAGATTGGAGTGCATTTGGAGACCCATGGTTACCAGGGATTTCCTTAGCATTGATATCATTTCAGCCCGGAATCGAAAAAGCAAGTCGAATATTTAGTTAAATATATTTTTATTGAACAAAAATGAATTGTATATGCTGTTTTTCTTACTTTTAACGCAAACTGAAATCGTTTTTGTTTCATAGGGGTTGGGTTGTTTTTGTTTGTTTAGAACTCAGATTTAAAACAAAGCCGCATTAATCGATAAAAATAATTGTAATTTGTATAAAACATACACATCTTGTTAAATATAATTGTGTTCTCATTAACTTAATTGAGTTTGTTGATTTTTGTTTAATGGTATTTGTATTGAAGCGCTTATAACTAATTGTTAGACAGCTTGAAAGAATTCTATCGAAAAGATCATCAACTCTCATTAATTCGCATATGTCACAAACTCTGATTTTGGTTTTGTCTTGTTACATATATAATTTTTGTGGAAAAATGTCGTTTACGTCGTAATTTAAGTCACATTTAAAACTGGTTTGATTTGTATTCGTCATTAAACTTGATTTTTGTTTTTGTTTTTTGTTTTGTTTTACTAATAACATTTAAAAAGATCACCAAAGTTACAGATTTCCCATTTTACGTTGCTCACGTTGCTTGTTTATCTTTATTATAATAATGTTGATGTATTTTGTTTACTCCGCTTAGATTAGAACTAATAATATGTATTTTATTGATTAATTACCCGGCATTTTGGTTGCTTTCTAAAGTAAGGGATGTACCAGATGATCTCTTTAATCTTAACTCACGAATAAGTGGTATTATCGTATTGATTTTGCTAGTCGAATTTCAGCTAAGGGACAATCATCATCGGATCTGATCTGATTCGCATTTGGATTTGGATTTGGAACACTACTTCTTCGAGAGTGGAGAGTGTGGGGCTATTTGGGGCTTATCGCGTGTGGGCTTGATTCTCTTTATATTTTATTTTAGTGGGACTCTGGGGACTAATTGGAAGAGTATACAGTACACACATATCATAAGTTAGTTATTCAAATATAACGTTTATAATTGCTTGGAGTTAGTCCGTCACTTCTTGAAATCTCGGTAATTGTGGCATATAATTTAATCGTTAGATTTAGATTTGTATTTTTTATTTCCTTTAGGAAGAGTTGTGCAAATTGCTGTTCTAGCTTCGATTTCGATCTGATTATATATCTAGGTATATATCTATATTTGTTGTATATAATTGTAGACATCTATAAACGGCACATTTATAAGTAATATGTAGAAACAATGCGATCCCAATTCTATTTCTTACTTATCTCCTCTCCTTTCCATTTTTTTCTTTTTATTTTTATTTTTCTCGATCTATCTTTAGTTTAAAGCTCAATTGAATTTTGACAGATAAAAATGTAAGTTCCCATGTGGATATCCCGGCTTCTTGTCTTTATTTTTTTGGGCCTTGACTCTGAGCAGAACATATGTTGGAAATGATATCTAAGGCCATCCACGTACGTCATCCAACCTCCTCTCAAACCTTTCCTTTAGCTGCACGACACTGAAGAAACCATTGAAATTGTAGTGTGTGTGAGTTGGTTTTGTTTTTGTTTTCTTGCGGGGAAAATCGGAGTTCTCCAGTTTACGATATATCTATATATTTACGCGTGTATATAGGGACAACTGTTACAGCCCATTGGTTTGGATGGGAAATAGCAGCTTGTTATTGGCATTTTCATTTAGTGATTGGGGGTTTCCCGTCCTCGATATTCTGCTCCATATTTTCTTTTTTTTTGTTTTGTTTTGCGAGTAGTTAAAGCTTTGGACTTTTCTCATGTATTGTGTTGGTAAAGTAAATTATTGTTGAATATTTCGCTCATTTTACAACTACGAGATGCATTCATTGTCGGCACACATTTCAGCTTCAGCTTAAACTAATTGAATATTTAATGTAAATGTTGGTTCTGTCTGGGCGATCTCAAATCGAGCCCCGAATCGCGAACTCCTTTGCATTGTTTCGTTTTCGTTTTTAGCTTAGAACTAAAATTGGTTGATTTGTTTTTCTTTTTCTTTTTTTTTGCTTCGGGTTGCTTTTTAAGTAAGTATTAGAAATAAATTTAAAATTGTAATCCCTTGTGTAGAAACTTTACTACAGAAAACAAATGGAAAATGAATAATTATAATTAAAGAAGTCAACAAATATATCCACTCATTGATTGCACAGCCCCACAAAATGTTAATCGATTCCAGTACTTTAGTAAGCTAAATATCTCAGTTGGTTAAAGTATCCACTATGAGCCTCTGTTTTATTTTATAACCATAAAATCAAACAAGAACTGAAAGACTATCAACATATGGAACACTTTTTTGGTAAGAAATTTAGGCCATAAGAGAACTGGGCTTTTGAACAAAATACAAAATATGAATCTAAAAAATTTAAATTGAAAGTTGAAGTTAAAGTTTTGAAAAAAATACTTTATAAATTAATTCATCAAATGTTTACTTGTTTATAAGTCAATTTTGTTAAATAACTATTACAGCTTTTGACGTGGAAACAAAATCTTCACAGATTTAAAATCATTTGATAAATACATATCTCTTTTAATGTTCCCCAGCAAATGAAGTCAAATCCTAAAGATTTCTGAAAGTTTGATTCAACATTTTGAAGGACTGCAACACTCCCTTCATGTTTTTGCTTACATATTTTTTTGAGGGTTACAAACTAATTTGTAAGTGCAGTAAATGATTAAAAATAAGCATAAAGATTTAAATATATTGTATTTTATAATGCTCACATTATGTACGATTGGCAAAACAACTTGCAAACTTGGAAACTAAATCTAAATACAAGGTTCTGTGAAGGATGTACACAAGTATAAATAAGGTTTCGGTCCGGGAGATAATTATCGTCGCCCAGGACCGCATAAATAACAACGCATCATAATGTTAACTTGAACTGTGTCCTCGATATAGTACAATTAATTAAGCATACGATTCATATTGATATTGTTTTTGTTTGTTTGTTTGTTTGTTGTTGCTTGTTGATTTTGGCGAAACTAAAACTACTTTGTAAAATATTGAAATGTTGTTTGCCTCCACCTCTCTCCGGGGGACGGTGGAGAAGAGAGTTACCTTGTTTATATTACCCGTACACCACTTTGCTCTAAAGTTAATTAATACGAAAATTACAAAACGAAAAGCAGGCCTGTTCCGTTCGCGATGTTTTTCCATTCGAAGAATCAACATGAGGAAATCAACAAATTTCGTTACGCTTCTTTTTAAAAAAATATAAGATAGTAGCTACAACTAAATATCGTTAGGAGGTACATAAATAATTGGGGACATTGAGTGATATGCCTTGGGGACTCGGGGAGGGGAGAAGTTCGGAGGAGTCTGATGGCTCGTGTGTGTGTGTTTGTATGTGTGTGTGCATACAAGTGGGGTTAACTAAAGACTAACATAAAATATCTGCACTTTCAACGTAACTGCTACCGCGTTATTTGCACTTTTGAATTTAAGTATTCTTATCTTGTTACAGTTCCATTTCGCTCTTTTTGTTTTTTTTTTTTTTTTGTCGTTTTGTTTTGTAAAAACTTTAAATGTTAGTTTTAGGCTTGCACTTCTCTCGTTATTCTGGCCACGCTCTCTTTAATCGCCCATTTAAATCTGACATTAAATCTGACATTCTCCGATTCTTTTCTTTTTTTTGGTAGAGCCCAACTTATAAACTATTAAATGTTCTTGCTTGGTTTCCATATATGCGCCCTAGTTATTGAAGTATTTCATTAGTACATGCTAAGTTGTGTGTTTACACTCTTTCAATGCTTGTCGCTTTAATGTCGCTTGTGGTTTGTTGTTTATAATTTGGTGGTGGTCTTCGTTCACAGTACAGAGAATCCGAGTGGTTGTTGGTGTTCTTGTGGTGTTGTTTCTTGCTGTGTGAGTCGATCAGCAACGTATTCATTTTGTTTTTGTATACTAAAAACCTTTGGTTGTATGCATTCATTCATATTCATCATTCATCATGTCTTCATTTCGTATCGTGTAAAAATATATTGTACAATGTAATCGTAATTTCTATTACAAAAGTTGTCTCTCTCTCGTGTTGATGACGCGCTTCGCATTTGTTTCACTTTTTTTTTGTTTCTTGTAATTGGTGTTGGTTGGTATTGCTGCCGTAGTTTTTGTTCCCTTAAGTTGATTTCCTATTTGCATTCAATTTGCTTGCTACGCTTGTTTTTGAGAATTCTCACTGTATGGCTGTCTGCTCTTTGTATTCATTTGTGTGAGTGTCGATGAGTGAGTGTGTGTGGGTGCCTTTGTGTTCTTTTGGGATCTGATCATCTTCTTCTTCTGCTTACCAGATAACTAAATTGCATGCCAGATTTTCGTGCTCCTCCCATCGCGCCCTCTCTCAAACGTAAAATGTAACTGTAAACTTATTTCTAAACCTTTAGGCTTGGCTTTCATCCGCTTTTCGATCTCAGGGAAGAGGAAGTGGGGGGAGTAGCTTATTCGAATCGAATTTCGAAACTGATTTTGTATTCTTTGACTTTTTGGTGTTGGTATATATATATCTATACATATATATATATGTAGGTGTGTGGGGGCGGGGTGGCGATACTTTTTAAGCAAAGTACATGACCTTCTTGGTGTCCGCGTGCACAGTGATGGCCCTGGCCATGGCACCTGGCGTGCGATCCTCGGAGCAGCCGCTCTGGTGCGATCCCTCGCCCGAGTCGTGCTCCTTCTCCACCAGATGGTATCTGCAAGGTAATTAAATTGGTAACCAAGGGTTCAAGGATGACAACTTCAAATTCAAAGACTCACCTGGCTCGGAAGGCCACCAAATGGGCGTAGTAGGCCGGCGCCGGTATGCTCACGGATCGGGTGCATCGCACATACGTGTGGCACAGCTGGTACGTGAGGCACTGCAGCTCATCGGAGTCAAAGTGATTGTCGTCCCACAGAACGTGGTAGTGCGACGGGCGACTGGTGCCCTGGATGCCCTGATGGCTGCACAGATAGAAATCGAATTCGGTGGGATGGGTGATGCCCACGTCGACGGTGGTGCCAGCGGGAATGTTGCCCGACTTGCCGCTCTGTTCCTTCTTCTCCGCGCAGAAGAGACGCGTATGATGGCGCTTCTGGACAACGATGAACGTGATGCCCGGCCGGTATTCCGGTTCCAGCTTGATGCACGCCTCGCGAATGGCGGTCAACTCGTGCTGCAGCACGTGCGGGAACTGACCCTCGGACACACCGTCGCGATAGAGTATGATGCGGTGGGGCTTGTAGCCGCCGGTCGACTTGTAGAACATGATCAGCAGCTCGCGCACCATGCTGCTCAGCTCCTGGATGATCTCCTGGCGATGCTGCTGCACTCGAACGGTGGCCGCGTAGCGCGACGGATGGGCATCCATGGAGCCAACGACGGCGGCAATCGAGGGCTTTTTGTTATCGCCAGCCGGTGGGTGGGTCACATCAGCACCCAAGAAGATGACCGGCTCGTTGAAGACCTTCGGCCGGATGGAGGGCACCAGAATTGAATTGATGCCGCCCAACTTGACGTTGATCTTGAGACACAGATTGGACAGCGTCTGCGGCGATGTTTTGTTCACATTCTTGGCCTGCACACACTGGGTGGCCATGCCCAAAACGGTGTCGCCCACGCGCTTAACCTCGGCATAAACGGGCGTCTTGCCGGGCAGAACCACCACGACGAGCTGGAGTCCCGGGAAAGTGATCTTCAGGTAGCGGAACATCGGCTCCACCTGATCCGGTCCAGTGGCGTACTTGCAGAAGCACGGCTGTCCAATGATCGGCATGCCGGCATCGTTCGAGATCTTCTGCAGCTGCTGGGTGAAGTTGCGCAGTGCATCCTCGCGCACGGTGCGCTGTGGAGCAAAGCAGGCTATGGCCCAGATGCGGATCTCCACGCCGGTGAAGAACTGCTTGCCGCGCATATCCCAGACACCCTGGTTGGGCGATGCCAAGCTGACCTTGTTCTGCGGCGGGAACAGCTGCTGGCCGGTGATCACCGTGGACACACGTCCCCCATACTGAAGCTTGGGCGGCGGCAAGACGCGTCCGCGCACCTCCATCATGCAATTGGAGATGGTCAGGCCGAACTCCTGCACATACGAATCGTTGTTGAAGTCGGCGCGCTTCACCAGATTGTTGATCTCGCGCTCGCGATCCGGAGCCGAACGAGCGGTGGCCTTGATCATCGTCGAGGTCTGCATGTCGGTCAGCTTCTTGATGCATCGCTGTCCGGCCACAATGTTGCACACCTCCAGTGGCAGGTAGGTGTGCTTGTGCTCTTGGCCCACCTGCAGGCAGGGCAAATGCGGATAGCGCAGCTTCATGCGGTACTTGTCCAGGAAATACTTGGCCACGGTGCACTCCACCGTCTGTCCGTTCTCCAATTGAAGTGGAAAGCTAAAAGAGTGGATAAAAATAGTAATAAAAGGTGAAGGGCTTCATTAACTAAAGGTTTCTTACGATTGCATTTGGGCGGGACGCCTAGTGACATTGCACACACGATACTTGCGACGCATCTGGCCGCAGTGGGTAATCTCGATCTTCAGGCCCTTGATCTCCTTGGTGAACTTGACGCGCTGCGAATCAGTGAGCGGTTTGCGCTGCTCATTGATGTCACGAATGTCCAGCACCTCGCACATAAAGTCAATGACTGGTTGAGACTTGTAGAAAGCGGTGGCCGAAACTGAAGGAAATTCAAAGATTAGCAATTAAAATAGATAACTTTGGAGTGAAATACTTACCATCAATGTTGAGCATCATCTTCCACTGCGAGGGTCGCACGCTCTGGTGGAAACCGAACCACACCTCGCGTCCACCGCCCAGCGGATGGTAGTAGCCTTCCGGGGAGCTGAAGAAGCTGCGTCCCACCGGCGTGTACGTCATGCTGGGCAAATGCCGCATGACCACGTCGAGGGCCAGGATGGCATCGTATGGAATCTGCCGGGTGCGGCCTTCGAGTGCCTCCTCCAGATTGAAGAGAGAGACCTGAGCCTGCCACTTGATCGTCACGCGAAAGATGCGATCCTTGCCCTCGCCGGGCAGAGTCACCTCCAGTTCCAGACGCTCATTGCCAATCGGCAGGGGATCGCGGGTGTACAGATTGTTACGGCCATCGAACACCGGCTTGAGCACGCCGAAGATCTTGCTGTAGGCATGCACCATGGTCTCGATGATCTCGCGGTTCACCTTCCGCGGACACTTGTCCGGCTGAATGTTGATGTCATAGTGATGCACATAGCCGCGCGGCATGGTCACCTGGAAGTGATTGGCCCGCAGCACAATGGGGCGACCCTCTCGCCCAAGATTCGGACGGCGTGGGCACGTAAAGACGGGCATGTCCGGCTGCGTGGCTGGCGTGGCCGTAGCAATCGCTGGCGTCACGCTGCCGGTGGTGGCGCCCAAAGCGGAGGCCACCTGGGCGGCAGTTGCAGCGGCACCGGCCACAGTTGCTCCACCAGCGGCCACATTCTGGGCACTCGGGCTGGTGACTGCGGTGGGATTGACCGACGAGCCGGGCGCTGGTGGTGCTGCAAAGTCAATCGCCAATTAGTTTCATCCCAAAACAACATTTTCTTAGGATAAAAAGTTTAAAAAAGAAAACAAAACTAGGCAATATCCAACAGTAAGTTTGGGGTTTTTTCACATGCTCAGATAAACCACAGGAATTTTTTATCAAGAAAACTTTTTCCAAATTTATAGATCTATCCTGTAGGTTCCCTCATTTTTGCAAACATAGTTTATGCTAATAATTTTCAGTACCAAAATTAGTTATTAAAATCCATAAAATGTAATTATTTCATTAGGTTTAAAACTTGTTTGTTATTAAGGAAAATTCAAAGCATATTTTGATGCATATGTTACGTAGGGATTTCTCGCAATTTTTAATTGGATTAAAATACTGAACACATGTTTATGGGGTACATTATGCTATCCTAATAAGTACAAAAATATCTTACTTTTTTTCTGTATAGTACTAATCAGGAAATTTCTCTTTAAAAACCCCTAATAAAATAGTTATTTCTTATCTTATCTAAAGAATACTTAAGTAAACAGGCCCCTTGGTAACTGATATATGTACTAACTGCAAGTCCTAAACATTTCAAAAGTGATCTCAATCAATAAAACAACAACCCTGATTCCAATGAGGTAATCCAGAGGCTTAGGAAATTCCCCCAAGTATACTACAAGCGAAAAATTGTCATGCAGCGAGCGTAGAACACAAAATAATACATATTAAAATTCAAAGATCGTTTTTGCAGGTGTTTTAGTTTAAGTGTAGAGTTATACTTCAAGTGCACTTTGCATGGAACAAAGAAACAAACATTTACACGAAACAAAAAGTCGAAATATTTTTTGTTGGTTAGTTTTTTTTGGTTTTTGTTAGTAACATTACGGCAAAAAGGTTAGTTGAAGGATAGGAATTTGTTAGTGGAGGAGCAGTGTGTCAGGAACACCAAACTAAGAAACATAAACACAAACAGTTTTGTTTAGCTTTTTCGAATCAATCAAATTGCATAAGGTAGGTTCGTTTAGTAATTTTAGTAATCGTTTTTGGTTTTTGGAGAGAAATTTACATGTGAGCGTGTCGAAGCTAGTCTGCGCCTGAGAGGGACTCTGAGGCCGAGTGGGCGAGGGGGTCCACTGTGACTCTATAAAAGAAAACGTAATCAAATAAACACAAGGTAATCAAATGAAAATGGAAATGAGGAGGTTCAAATCAAAAATCGGGTAATCGGGTAATGGCCAATCGATGGTTGTTGTCGATAATGGTAAATCAAAAGCATAATGTCAAAGGTGAAACGATGTGAAAACCGAAAAATTAAATGGCGATAAAAAACGAAAAAAAAAAAAAATAAAAGAAATAAAAGTGCGTTAATAATATTTTAGTTACAGTTTTCTTTCATCATCGTCATCAATAAATATATGTTTTGGATTAAATAGTGTGTATATAGTGGGAGCTGCTCTGCTGCCACAAGTCGTTTTCCTTTGGTCAGTTACTAAGTATTTTAAGTGGTTGGTTGGGTGGGTGTTTGCGTATCCAAGTCCTGGGTTAGCCACCATTTTGTTAATAGTTCTGTTATTGCACCCTATAACCCATGGGATCTCCTGCACGTGGAGTTAGTTTTGATGTTCTACTAGGTAAACATTCTGCCACCTAGATTCATAGGGCTTCTTGAAGGTCTTTCAAACAGAGTCATAAATTTTTAGTTCTCATGATTCTCAGATTATACATCATTATTTTCAGAAAAAAAAACATTAAAAATAGTGTTGTATTCCCATTAAATGTTCAAATTTCAAACAAAGGAACATCCTATGCGGCAATTATCAAGGCGTTATTAAATATGACATGAGTTTATTTTTATGGTTTTCCCTAACAACCCCTTCTCTGTTTACGAAGCTCTCTGTTTTCACCCTTCGCAGCATAAATATTCAAATTGAAATACGCACAATCGTCAGCAAATTGCGTCGCAATCATAAAGAGTCTGCTCTTGAAACCCAGAATTCAGACAGAGTCGTAGGCCCCCAAAAGCTAAAAACGAGCAACCCCCGGAAAATCAGGAAACTATTGCGACGCGACGGTCGTTGACCCAATTTTTTGCGCATTTTCAACTCTGCACTTTGACGCACGTGTCTGTGTGGGAGTTTCACACTACTATAAAGTCTGGCACTTGCAATTTATATATATGTACGTACATATATATATCACATGTAGGTGCAAGTAGAACATCGAAAACTTGATTAGTGGGTGATGGGCGAAGGGGGAAATGGGGGGGCATATTGGGAAACTTGTGGCAGCAGCAGTTTCTTTAGTCTGGAAATTGACTTTTTCTTTTAGTCTTATTTTCTTCTTTTTTGCGATAGCCACTTACGTTGTCCAACTGGATACATGTTTTTGCACTAAGTTAGGTTTTGGTTTAAGAAAAATAATTAATGTATAAAAGATTGGCTCGTGTTGTTTTTCTTCTCGTTTTTGATGTTTCGTGTTTTGGTGTAAAATGTAATTGATTGTTGTTTTCTTTGTTGTGGTTGTTGTTGTTGATCTTGCTTTTGGTTTTCTACTAATTATTTTTTTTTTTTTTTTTTTTTTGATTTCAGCCTTTTGCTTATCACACTTTAAAGTAGTTTAAAGTTTTATTCGTTTGGTTGATTTTTCATTTGTTTTTTTGTTGTTGTTGTTGCGCGTGGGCGTGGCGTAGGCGTATTTATATAAATTGGAATTAGCAACAGACAAGTTGGGTATTATCTCGTCTCTGCCTCTTTCTTGACTTGCATTATTTTATTTGTTATTATTGTTTTTGTTTTTTAATGTTATTTTAGTATTGGAAAAGAACACAAATGTAGGCACAGCTTTCGTTTAATTATATGTATGTATCTTTATGTACACACCTAGGCGTGTATATATGTATATTTATATACTTATATATGTATCTAATGCTCTTGTAATACAACTAAGAAAAAATTCTTCTTTATGCTCGCATATCTCGTGAGTGCAATTGTATGCGTCTGTGTGTGTGTGCTTCTCGGCTTGTGTGTGTGCTGCTCCGCTATACAGAAAGAAAATGCGTTTGTATGCGTTTTTTTATATATGGCAGCCCAAAAAATGTGTGCACGTAGAATTCTTGACTTTTTCGAGACGTGGTTTTTGTGCACCAAACACTTTCGCGCCGCCCGCTCTTACGCACAAACCGTGGCCAAGCTATTGAATTTTGATTTAGCACAACTTTTGTTAGCTTTTCACGTCGCGCATTATGCAAAAAATGCAATTTTCTTCAGCTTTTCCCACAGCAGCCACACACTGGACGTCCACACAAAAATCGTACTCGCGACGTGTGAGCGTGACGCATGCTGTACACTCTTAACCACACTTAAATGAGGGCAAAGCACCCTCGCTTTAGGGCGTGCGAGTGAGCGAGACGACTGTATGTGCAAGCAAACTATGCCTGGCAAAACAGGGTTGCTTCCAGTCAGCATTTCAGTGTTGAAAGACGCTAAGGGGCTATCGGTTTCCTTAAGAAATCGTTATCGCCGCCCAGCTGTTACGTAGCGTGTTTGTTACGTCGTGTTTTTGGGAAAATTTTCTGTTTTCCTTGCGCACAAAAAACATAAATAATGTCGGTTCCTTTTAGTGGAGCGCTTCGCCGTTCCGGCGGCATTGTTTCAGCAATTGGCAAGCAGCTGAAGGGCGTGAATTTAAAGGGAGTCAAGCGGATAACTGTGCAGTTTGATCCATTTGCGGAGAACGTCAAATCCACACGGTGAGTCCGGAAAAGCGCTTTTCTTTTATCGATAGCGGGACATGCGCAGTCTTCTGCACCGAATGGGAAAATTTTCACAGAACCAAAGTGAAAAGCAAAAGAAAAATAGGACACGAAAAACTGAGATAACCGAAAAAGGTGCAGTGAAGTATTCACACTAAAACCGGGCCTTTCAATGAGTTGTATGCGTTGAAAAAGTGAATGATAAACTAGGGGAAACTCACCGTAAACCTTTCCGATTATACCCACGGCGGAGGTCATCTGGAGATCCGGAAAAGTCAGCGGCAGCGTGTGCGGATGGAGCTGAGCTGGCCCACCGGGAGCCAGCTCACGCTCCGTGGACATTTTAGTCGGTGTCGGCGTCAGTTTGAGGCGGCTCTGCTGTCCCTGGAAGATCGGGGGAAAATAAACAGAAAGTCGGTGAAAATCAATAGCCCATATTGATCAGCATTTCTTCATCTGCCCACAGGGAATTCCTGTTCCTGCTCTCCACACCAAAGGTGGCCCTAACGAATCCCAAGTGCGTGGTCAAATCGGAAATCGTGTGCGATCGCCAGCCAGCCAACATCAGGTTCGCCCTGATTGATTCAGCACAAGGTATGTTTCAATAAGATGAGTTTTGCAGAAGTCTTTAACTGTCAATAAGCTTAACTTAGTTCTTTGAATTAATTTCAATTACATTTTTTAATTACCCAAATAAAGAAAGAGATTTCAAAGAAAGCTACTTTAGAGTTTAGATAAAGAGGATTTCTGCAGCTGCACTTTATAAACATAACTAATACATATTCATTCCGCAGAGCAAGCCAAAGTCAAGGAGATCCGCTTCAACAGCGAAAACCTCGACACACTAGAACTCCTGCAGCTGTGCAACAGACACGTCTCCAGCTTGGCACCTCCCGAGGAGATCACCAACAAGGTCCTGACCAAGGCGGAGAAACAGAAACTGGGAGGAGGAGCCGGTGGCGGAAAGAAGGCACCCAAGAAGAAATAGAAGTAGAAGTGGACACAAAACAAACAAAAAACAAAACCATCGTCATGGTGAGGAAACACAAGGGAACACTGGCGGTGATCGAGAAGATCTACAACGATATACCAGCCTTCTCCGACATCTTCACCGAGGAGAGCTTCTACATGTTCGCCTTCTGTTTCACGTGCGCCACCGTCCTGGTGGCCTTCATCCTCTCCCGGTTCATCACCATCAAGCCCGTCGACTTCTAAGCCAAATGTCCTGTCTTATTCCTCACACGTACTTTCAAATATATAAGCTTTAACATGTACCACTCCGCACTGTATTGTCTTTTTGGCCCGACTGTGCAAAAAGGGCAGCGTTCATTTCGGTCCGTCAGCCTGTCGGTCGGGTTTTTTAATGCTTTTTTTTCTGTGCGAAACCAGTTTTTGGTCCCTGGCAAACCGGAAAATCATCTGCTCCTTCTGCTGCTGCGGCGGCTGTTTGCTGATGTCAGCGGATCAGAGGAGAGTCGCCCGCCGGCCAGAGCTTATAATCACAATGGGGCGGGAGGAGCCGTTGATAATTGGACTGGAGGAAGTCGACCAAATGTGCGATGCAAAGTGGACATGGCTGTGGTGGACCCACAGAAAGGGGATCGAAGATTGGCCAATCACTTTGTGTTTTTGTTGGATTTTTTGGGGATAAACATAAGATTTACATTTTTATTGCGTAGACGCACATTCATTGAGTTCGATTTATTTATGTTACTTTAACGAGCTGGAAAATAAATGTAACAATTTAAAAAAATGTGAAGATATTTGAGACGGCAAATGTTTCAACTGAAACTACATCTGTGTGTCCATTAAAGTTTTCATAAATACCTTTTTGTGGGGCATATAAAAGTGCAACAGGCAACGGAGAAAGCTCCTTGGATGCCAAGACAGCTGTTGGGATGAAGTTGCCTCTGCTGCTCCTCTTTTTTGGGGGGGCAAGGGAGCCAAGTGCACTATACACTCCAAGCTTTGAGCTAAAGTTTTAAAATGGCGCGCTGCGAATGTTTGGATGTATCTGCTAAATCGATGAAATTGCTGCAACTGCCAACAAACTGTTGAAGTGTGGCAGCTGCACAATTGTTGGAGAAAGTTGCCCCAAAAAGCTGCGGCACCCTGTGATTAATCGAATTCGGTGCAGAGTAGCCAAGTTCAATGTCAGGCTGGAAGCTTTCCCCGCCTGTTGGTCAGCCATGTTAAAGGAGTCGCGTCGCAAAACTTTCGCCACCCACTTGGTCAACTTTGAATACTTCTATAAACATGCCGAGGGTATTGCAATTTCGGACAGATGTTGGGAAATACCTGAATGTCCTTTCCTGGTAGAATCCCCTAAAGTAAATCTTTCCCTGATCAGGCAAATAAGAATACAACTCCTACGCACACAATTGTAAAATCCTATACCCTAATATATTATTTATGTAATTATGAGATATAATATATAGACATTTTAATAAAACAAAATCAACATTAAGGGGAAAACTAAATTGAAATGATTATAATTCGGTCTCTAAATGACAGATTAAAGCAACAGCAACACAATCCCCTTTAATTTAATTTACTGTTATATGTACATACGTCTTACGGCATTTGAATTTAAAATGGTACATTTTTTAACGATAGCACTTATAGAAGGAATTTAATGAAATTTTAAGGAAATAGTAAAATACTTTTAAATGAAAGTGACTAGAAAGTACAAGCTTCGGATAGCCCAAGCGAACTTCCTTTTTCGATTCCTGACGTAATTTGCGCGGGACGAGGGGCGGCGTAGGAGGTAAGGAAAGTTCTATTGGAAGCTAAGGATGTGACCTTTCTACCAAAACATAAACACTGTCGGTACGTTTGTCCCGCTCTCACTAGCACTCTCGATGGCGCTCTCGAAAATTTCCTACAGCATATGCTCAGGCGCCATTTCTGTTTTGATTTTTTCTCCTTTTTTATGGGGGGACACCTCTGTTTTATCTAGAGCTCCTGCAGCTGTTCTGGAAGCCTCGATTTGCCGGCAAACTCAGAGGATCCCCATTAAATCGAGTGTTTACTTACGTTATCGTAAAATTGCAGCTGACTATGGGCGTCTATATGTTCTTTATCAGCTTTATCAGCGGTCAATTGAGCGTTTTTTGTTGCGAATTCCGTTTAGTTGGGGGAAATTCATTAAGGAATTGCGTGGGGTTTGCGTCTTGACTGGATATAAACCGTTACTGGCTTTACTTATCCAGCTCTAATTGGAAGAAACGAGAAAGATACATAAGTGCAGGAAATGGTTAAAACGCAGTTTCTTGTGTGGCTGCTGTTGTTGTTGGTGTTGCCAGATCGTTAGACCGGAGATATTGCGAATTCGAAAAAGCTTTTTGTTTACTTTGTTATTTGACAACACACACTGTTTTTCGTGCAGCTCTTACTTTATTTAATTTTATTTTTTGCAAGCTTCCAGGCCGCATTTGTATGTGTGTATGTGCGAGTGAGTCAAAGTCAAAGGTTGCCAATATGTGTGCGACTCTCTCTCTCTATCGCTCGCTCGCGTTTTTTTGCGTTTGTTTTGCCTTTGTTATTGCTGCGGCTCTTAACTTTTTTATGGCAACTACTTTGGAGGGAAAAGCTTTCCCCACAATCCGCGAAGCAGTCATGCATTGGAAAGAAAATAACATACAGACTGCCAACACCACGCACACAGTCTCACGTCCGCCAAAAGCACCAAACACACACACACACATACGCAGCAGAGATTGCTGCAAAATGAAAGCACCAACAACAACAGATACAAAAACATCCAGCCCGCGACGTAAAAATTTGCGAAAAAAAATGGCAATTACTGCAGATCTGGAGTATATCCGTATGTTCGATCCGTCAGGGGGAGATCGCTTGAGATCTTTATGTATGAGATGCGGTAGCCAACTACAAAAAATTGCGAACGCGCGCGATTTGCACAAACACAACTTATAGGCTGGCCGTTTTGGAATTGAATAAAATAAATATTGTTGCGTGTGCCTGTGTGTGTATCTGTGTGAGACGGCTCGCTCAAAAGACAGAGAGAGCGGAATCCATGCTCGACAGGGACAACTATAAGGGGCTGCGAGCGAGCAGGGCAGCGAGCTTTTTGTTAGGGGGACACCGACAAAATGACCTTGCTTGGGATTTACTGAATTCCCGTTACTTCCATGAGTCCCCCGCTATTTACATTTGAATTTTAAATTAAACTTTATTTTCCCCATTTATTGTTAATTATTATATGCAAATCTCTGACTTCTTTTTTAGACTGCAATTTAAAAATATTTTGGGATAAAGTCAAAAATCTTAAGTTCAGTTTTAACAAAAATTATAAGGATGTATTATCAATTATATGTGATTGATTCCAAAACCAATTAAAACCCCAAGTTACATTTATCAAATTGATTTGAATTGGAAATCGATCGTTTAAAAACCATTTCACGATTAGCATTTTGATATTGTAATCCTCGAAATTTAAGGCTTGCATATTCCATGTTATTATGAGTATAACAAATTTTACTTAAAAAATGAAAACAATGTATTAGTGAAATCATAAAAAAATCCTTTTCATTAATATGTTAAATAATGCCAACTAATGTGTTATTTCCAATGCATTTGTAACTCCCTTGTTAATTTATTCAGAATCGAAACATACTCGAAAACATGAAAAAGTACGCTTTCGACGGCATTTAAATTATTGAAGTGCCGCAGGCGAAAGCTATTTCTGCTTCTCCTCCTGTTTCTCGGCAGCGGGATCGGTGTTCTCGTCGCGGGCCACCGAAGTGGGAGTCTCGGGATCGCCCTTCTTCTCGCTGGCCGACGGCTCGGCGCCCATGGTGGCTCCAGCGGGCAGGCTCTTCTCGAGGGCGCGAACAAAGTCCTCCAGATTGCCGGAGAAGGCGGCGGCAACCGCCTCGTTGGACAACTCGAACTGCTTGACAACCGGACCCAATTGGGCCGACTGCAGGGCGTTGGAGAACTGGGCCAGGGCCTGCTGGAACTGCGGGGAGGTGATGTGATCCTTGATCTGCTGCTTGCGATCCTCGTCCGCATCCTCCGACTCCGGCAAGTGCACAATTAGCGACTTGACGCGCTCCGGATCGGCGATGAGCTGATTGATGGCATCGGCGCCAGAGAGCGCGGTTGATAGGTCAATGTTCAGGGATCGTCCTGCGCCATGTTCGGGGGAGAGATTGGATAAGTAGGCTTGGAATGGATTGGCATAGGCTCCGGTCGATTCTGACGCCGTTGTGGTCGATGTGGTTGAGTTCTTACCGGAGGCATCCGCATCAACGGAGGAGCCGGCGCTGCCGGCAGCCTCGCCGGCCTGCGAGTTTACGTTGCTGCTGCTCCGGCTACTGCCCGACTTGGATGGTGCGCTCGGGGTGCGAGGCACACTCACGTTTTCGGGCGTCTGCAAGGCCGAGGCACCGCCGCCCCCCCGAAGAGGAGGTGTTGCGCGACGAGGGCGTGCGGGAACTGCAAGAAAAGATAGAATACAGGTTTAAGTAGGTGCCTAGGAGATAAGCGGTTTCTGAGCTAAATATCAATCGAAGCTACACAATCATTAGTCTGCCTGATAACTCTCTGTTTATACAAATATAGTCTATAAATGGTCAATAATCTCTACATACGTACTTATACAAATGGCAGAGAGTTAAGTAATGAAGTAATTGAGTAATTAAAGCGAATTGAACTGTTTAATAAATAAGGGATTTTATATATTCTACAATCGGAAAGAAAGGCTTTCCTGTTCCCTTTCAAATTAAAATAAAAATTGATATAACGAAGCACTCTATACTCCATATCAATCAAGGAAATATATGCAAATTTAACTTTCTGTTGACGGCTTTTAATGCCTGTTTGCTTACTTCATTTGGCCCAGCAGCGAGCTGAGACCGCCCATCTGGCCGACGCCGCCGAAGAGCTGCATCAGCTGCTGCTGCGACATGTTGTTCAGCATGTACTGCAAATCCCCATCGTTGCTGCCGCCGCCGCCGCGCTGGTGGGCGGAGGGTGGGTTGTTCAGCAGCTCGTTGATGCGGCGGCAGTGCTCGTCGTCCTTGTCCGTCTTGGGCTCCTGCATCCAGAAGAACATGCGGCGCGTCGACGACTTGAACTTGAGCACATAGACACGGCCCGTCTTGCACTGATCGACGCGCTTGTACTCGAAGTCGTCGGGGAAGACGATGAGGTCGTCCTCCACCTTGCCGGAGGTGCGGTCCTTCCAGCAGAAGTGCATCAGTCCATCGTCGCTCTGGGTCATGTAAACCAAACCCTTGCGCGAATCGGGATGGACCATCTTGCCGACCATGTTCATGCGGCCAGCGCGGAACTCCACCAGGTTGCTGCTGTTGCTGGAACTGCCCAGTCCACTTTGTCTGCCGAACATGATGCGGGCGCTTCTTGAAAGCTGGCGGAGATTAGATTGTGATTACTCGAATTTCGGCTCAATTTCCCAGGGGTTTCTTTGATTAAGGTTCTGCTAAGGGGTTATCGGTTGCATGCGCAGTACTTACGGGATATATAATGCGCTGAATTTGTTGGGTTTTTGAAATATTCAGTAAATCGCCTGCTGCGAATGACGAGCAAATTTTGTCTTCTTCTTTTGCAGCGTTGCCATACAGTGAAATGGCTTTCTTTCCAAGTGCTAAAAAATCCCATTTAAACTCTAAATTGCCATCACTAGTTAGACGGTACACCCGCCACATTTAGTGAAGACAAACTCCCGATAGATATTGGTTTTAGTGTTGCAAAACACGCTACACACTTGCCACCTCCAATCTATTAGAAGCAAACAAACAAATCGAAACCATCTGTAAATATTATTGTTTACGATCGTAAAATTATACATTTTATTTTTAAATGAATAATATATATTAATACATTTTAGAGCGATGGAAGCGGAAACAGAAACGGAACCACTGGAGGTGCACTTACTGAAACAAGAAGTCTGCGAATTTGTAGAACCAGAGAGTGAGCCACCGATAAGGGATAACAAGGATATCCAGTTTGAATGCCAAGTGAAGAACGAACCACTTGAGGAATATGAATACGAGGAAGAGGAGGAATGCAACACTTTAGACTACGATGTCGATCACAGCGACTTTAAGGTGAAAATTGAAGTGGAGGAGAATGATTTGCAGGCTGATGATGGAAACGATCAAGTCTTGCATAAATGTCCCAATTGCGCGGAGTCCTTTACAGTAAAACTAGATCTCCAAATACACTATAGAAGCCACCTAAAGGATCGGATGTATAAGTGTTCCCAGTGCCCAAAGGCTTTCACAGTGGATTACTATCTTCAAAAGCACCTGAAAACACACTTGGAATCACGACCATTTAAGTGCACCCAGTGTCCAAAGACCTTTGTGTTCAACTCACATCTGCGGACACACATGCGTTTGCACACTGGAGAGAGACCCTTCAAGTGTACCCACTGCCCGAAGTCTTTCATCCAGAGCTCCCAACAAAAGGCTCACATCCGATCCCACACAAACGATAGACCTTTCAAGTGTTCCCAGTGCCCGAAGGCCTTCAAGGTAAAACCAAATCTCAAAGTTCACATGCGAATCCACACTGGCGAAAATCCCTTCCAGTGTTCCATCTGCTCGAAATCCTTCTCCCAGAGCGCAAATCTCCAGAAACATGTGCAAACGCACACTGTAGACCGACCGTTTGAATGTTCTGAGTGCTTGATAAGATTTACCCGGAAAGCAGATGTTCAGCGACACATAAAAGCCCTGCATAACAAGAAGGAAAGCTAGTTCCTGCAGTAATTAAACACAAGATCCAAGAGACATACAGATGTATATAGTTTAATGCTTACAATGTTAGCTTTAGGTATTTTAAATAGTATGACTTTGTCTCGAATTAGATTTTTAGATACAAAAGATAAATCTTCGTCTTCGGCGTTCCTAGTCATTTTTCTAAAAATTATTTAATTATTTTTGGGGGTTTTGGGGTTAAAAAAAAATGGATTACAATTCGTCATTTGAGATTTCAATAAATCATTTTGCATAAAATACAAATTTCAACATTTCATATATTTTTTTGACAAAATTTTAATTTAAAACCTGGAATTTCTATAGTTATTTTTAATTAACAATGAGTTTGTATAAATTTAAATTGAGGTCAGGTATTTTTACTATTTACAAAAAATCACGAGGAATTTTAATTTAATATTCAATATTTGATATTTTACTATATTATTTTTCTCTTTAATTAATTTTATTAAATATTAAATTCAAATAACTTTTCCTTTTCAGATTGCAATGCCAAAAATTGTGGTGCGAGAATGTGAAACAATTAAAAATAAAATATCTGTTAGACAACAAGGTAAAACATCAACAGAACGTTCACGTGAATTTAGAGAGCGGAAAAAGGCTTTAAAAAATGCAGCTAGCCAAGGGTCCATCATTACAAAAACTAAACCAAAAACTGCAGCAGAGCGTAGTCGTGACTACAGAGCGCGAAAAAGACAAAAATATGAAAAAACTCAAGAGTCAAATTATCAACAATAGATGCTATTTTTACGACACGTTTAGATAATGTTAAAACACGAACTTAGTCACAACAATACCTAAAGAAACCGCGTCGAATAGTGTAAATATTGAAGAAATACATTTAAAAAACTAAATTTATAATTTATATTAATTTTCAACACTTTTAATATTTTAATGACAATTAAATTCCTAACATATCTTCCTTTTTCCCTTTGAGTCTCGGACATCTAAAGTTTTAGATTTGTAAAAATATAGACAAGACTGAAAAATTAGTTCGGCGAATTACGGGGAAGTACACGTTTTTTTCATCTTATGCGCAAGGCATACCAGCAGTGACAGTGGCAGTCTCTGCTAGTTAGGTCCGTTGACGAGATACCAAAATTCGTGACAAAGAAAGGCTCAACTTCGGTAAGTTGATCGAGCGATCAGATTTGAGTCAGTCGAAGAATGGTATAACGTGAACGAAACTTTCTGTGCGGTCCCATCTGATATTACACGATAGATGGATTTTAATTTTAAACATGAATAATTTTTAAAGTTAACGGAAATAACGCGACTCGGCGGCTTTAGAGCCAAAATCTCATCACTTTCCTCCTTGTTATCGATACTCTGTCTGCTCGACGTACTTTCTGGTGTTTCCAGAAGTCTCTGGCTGGTCACACTGCCGAAGATTTCTTTCGAGCAACAATTTCTGCAGATTTTTATTGGACAGCGAAAAGTCTTCGTGATCAGAGCTTCAATTGCGACTTAACAAACAAAATCGGCTGACTTGCACTTTAGTGTTGTTCTGCTAGAAAAAAGAGTGCAACAACAGTGGTAAAATCAGTGAATATTCTGCATTCCTGCGACGCAGTTCCGAGTGGTAGGTGAGAAATAATATTTTGTTTAATTATTTTTGCGGCTGGGAATGCAAATAAACCTGCCCTGCATTAACGTCGATTAAATATTTATATTGTAAACAGCAGTTAGGTTGGTTAAATTGAATTGCGTCATGCCTTTGTTGCGACTTATTTACTTTTTAATTGCACTCCATAATTAACAATCGGCATCTTCATCTATTCCGTATTGTGCATTTTCCCCTCCCTATTTTCTGTGCTCTTCTCTGTTTAGATTTTATTGCCCTTTTCGAACGTTTCTCTTCAGTCTTATTTCGTGCTGACCCATTTTCTAGTCTTTGTTTAGCTTTATCTCACCTGTTATTCCCCTTGTAGATGAATCACCTTGATTTTCAAAACCCGTTTTCGCCCTCGAACTTGGCACAAATTGCAGGCAGCAATAATAAATAAATAACAATTTTTATCAAATGCCTCTCACGTTTCTCAAAATGGGCGCAAAAAAAAAATAGTACAGTAAAAAAAAAAAAAAAAATCAGACAAAAATGGCAGACTTTTTTAAAAGCAATACGAAGCTATAGCAAAGTGGAATAACCGATAAGATAACGAACCTTGCGACTTCAAAAACAACAAACTAAACAATGTCACAAAGCAAAAGCCAATATACAATGTAAGAACGCCCCTCGAATCGGTTAAACCCTAATCAAAAAATAACATATTATATCCTCGTAAATTGAATATGCATTGACCAGTTTTATGTATTTTTTTAAAATTTAGTTTTAAATGAAGTTTTTATACATTTTTATGCTTTTGGTTTTTGCATGAAATAAAAAACTTAAGAAATATAATAAACTTTTTGCTTCAAAGATTAACGAGTTTCAATAAGAATATTTCTAGTAATTAGGAGTTATCTTTAGTTTGTTTTCACCAAACAAATCTACCGAAACTTTCCTTTAAAAAAGCAACAGAAACCAAATTATTAGATTGCCTTTTTTTTTTTTTGTTAAGCACACGGTTTTTGACATACACCATCTAACTTTCAATAATTATGTTAATTAATAATAATTGTTAGTATTGACTCATAAATTTAAAAAACAAAGATAAAATCTTGAGGTTTTTCTATAAATCTTTTATTTTTTGTTTGACATTTTTCTACAACACATTGACTCTTTTAAAGTCTGCGGCTTTGTTATGGTTGTAATTTAATTTCCTAGAAAATCAGATTTGAAGCGGTTGAAGCTTCACGTGACTGAGATTCTGCTTAGCTGGTTAACTAAATGTGTGATTTTTTACAGATTTAGACGCTTTAAAATGCGCACAGCTGTGTTACTACCTCTTTTGGCCCTGCTGGCGGTGGCCCAGGCCGTTTCCTTTGCCGATGTGATCAAGGAGGAATGGCACACTTTCAAGGTGAGTTTTTCCCATGACCAATGGATTGCTCTTGATTTGTCACCCCAGGAAAACAAAGTGCAACAAGTGTTCTCCGGTAACAAGGGCTCACTACCGATGATTAATGCAATAATTTTTGGAGGCCTTTGTCTTGGGCAGACTTTGTTTGCATAGTTGTCGACTGGGCATTTATTCTTCCGTTTGTGACGCTTCTCCTCCGCTGAGTCACGATTGAATGTGAATGCGAATGTGAATGCACTGAATGAGCGGCTGCATCAAAAAAGAGTCCAGATAAGTCCAGAAGTCTAGGCTTTCCAGTCACATGCCGGCTCACATGACGAGCGAAATCGGGCTTAGCCCATCCGTAAACATCGGTTGGATGGACTGGACGGACAACAAAGTCGTCGCCCACTTTTGCCCCGCAACGGGTCAGTTTCGCTGATAAGCCGGCCGAACATGACTCGAACTGGTCCACTGATAAGTGACACATTTGCACCATTTTTCCTTTTTTTTTTGCAAGCAATTGTTTCCTAATCATCATGTGGTAAATGCCGACTTCGATTTTTGCCCCTTCTAAGTTGCATTGTTCGTTGCGCCAGCCCGTGATTAGTCAAATCATCCTTGGTCTCAGTTCGCTAATCATTGGAATTTCAACTAATTAAATGAATGTAGCCGTAGTGTCATCTACTTCTTATCGATAGAAGCAATAGTTGCATATGTTATTCTGTTAGGTAGTTATATTCCTTTGTGTCGTGACAAGCGCCATTAATCGCAAATGGGGGCGTATAATTATAAATTTGTGGTGCAGATCTCATGTGATAAACCCCTAATGACACTATGCACATTCGAAAATGTTTTTTATATTTTCCCTTCAATGGCTTATCTCTTCTTTTGAAATACTACCCGCATTTGCTTTACATTTGACAAAATAAAAATTCCGTCTTTATATACAAACTCAGGAAATAAACCATTATACTTTTGATAGGGATACATTTTTGTTGATCTTTTCAAAAATGATGACAAATCAAAGCTTCCAGATAAATTCCTGAAATTCTTTGAGAAATTCAACTCTACAAATATTTGCTTGCGTTCAGTTTTTTCGCTGCATGCAGTTGTATAAGAAAACTTAATTGTAATTGTTTTGATTTTTTTCATTTTTGAATGTCTTAGTTTCATTTATTATTATTATTCTTTTATGAAATGTTTAATTATTTTACAAACCAATTATTTGCATTTAATTTTCCGCGCATTTTTTAAATCTCCATCCGTTATTCGTTATCAATCAGTTTAAAATGCCGTCCAGTTATCGGTCTGGTCACACTGCCGTAACAGTGCTGCCCATGCATGCTGCCAATCGAATAGGCGCTCAATTTAAATTTTATTCTGAGTATTGGAATACTGAGTCAAATTAAAAGTTAGGGAAGCGTAACACTATTATCTGTAATCTGTGTGCAGTTCAAAATGTCTGAGTTGTCAGTTGCAAATGCACAGCTGCAAAAGTCATCACCACACAATATTGGAATTGATAAGAACGGAAATCTAGAATAATGCGTTTCGTTTTATGAGCAGTTCGCGCGAACAAAGATTGGCAAATATTCAACACAATTGTGGATAGTTGGGTGCGGGGGGTAGCGAGATTTTGGAAATGACGCGTGACGGGACCGCTCGGCGCTTATCAAATTGGCATTTTGCTGGTCTTTCCGAGAGCCGAAAGCTTTCGAGCATGAAATCCGAGAGACAAGTGCACAAACAAATAGCCTGCCGTAAATAAACAAGTGGGGAAAAATTCTGCTGACTTGCAAATCAGTGAATTTGCTCTTTCTATATCTTTGATTTTTTGGTCAATTTTTGTTTGCTACACCCGAACCGGTTGCTTGGTGAAAACATATTTGAATAGCTCGGCTGAAATCCTTATAAATCAAGCGATTCGGGAAACCGGTTCGTTTTAAACGGTTCCATAATGCGCGCGCTGCAAAAAGACAGAAAAAATGAATAAGAAACAAGAAATAACATATAGAGTACGCCGCTTCCTCCAAATAGTTCGCCTACGTAGGTTGTGGTCTCTCTTTTTCTGATACGAAGTGTGTTGAGTGTGTGAACTCGGCTCTTTTTCACCCGACTCTGAGTTTGCGAGCGGCAGGCAGGCCACCACAACCACCGAAAGCAGTCGGCCTGTGAAGTATATTTTTGTTATTTCCCTACCGACGCTCCAAGCAATCGGAACGCTCGAGCAGCAGCGCGGCGAAAATATATAGAAATTCGAGAGAAAGAAATAAAAGGAGCCGAGCCACCAGCCACCAGCCCCCCAGCAGAACGAGAAAAGCACGCGCGTCATCGTAAAAACGTGCTACCGAATCCGAATCCGAAAGAAAACCAAAACCTAAAAACCAAAGTAAATAGGTGCGCGAAATTACATAAAAGCCCAGGATGACCGATGCCAGTGCAAATAGTCTGGATGTTTCCGTGGACGTTGTCTGGCCCACAATCATTGTCCTGACCATGCTGGTGATAAACGGCTTCGTCTTCGCCTACATCATGCGAAAGCGGCGGGAGTACAAGGGCCAGGAGGACCAGGAGCAACTACCTGTTCCACAGACATCGTACGCGGCCACCAGCCAAGTGGCCACTGCACACGCTGTTCCGGAGGACGATAGCTGTGCCATCGAGATGGAGCGACTGTAGGAGGAATGCTGGTATCCCGCGTGAAGTGTAGCTATAGCTCTCAGATACTCACCCATCGTCCAACTCAACTGCTCTCAACTGCAACGAAGTTTCCTAAGCTCTCAAATCGCAAGAGTTATAAGATATACAGAACGTATACGTCGAGTGCCTGGATCGCACGTGCATTTAATTACGGTTTTAAGTTGTTAACTCTATGCCTAGATCGCCATTCATTTTTCTACAAAAAAAAAAAAAGTATATAATAAAACGTGTGAATTTTGTCATGCCATATCGAAAACCAAAACTGTTGAGGAGGAAAATCAATAGGTCAGTGTGCCGGCGACTTTTGCAAAGAATGGTGGCTTCCCACCCAAACTGAAAAAAAAACGGGCGGGGATTGTGGGCTGCATGTCTCGAATTCGAATCAATTATGTCAATTATACGAGTCAGCCGTGGACCGGGGACCCCATCCGGTCCACTTGGGGCGACAATTGTTGCCCCGGCGATGCTGGTCCGCTTTGATGTCCAAAATAATTACACATGCATGTTTCTCACATGACAGCGCCAGTTAAGTTATTCGGTTCACTGTCCCGAATACCCTAGAAAATCAATCGTTGCTCATTTGTTAGTCACTTAAAAACCTCTAAAAAAAAGCGATAAACTTCAGAGAATAACAGACATTATTTCCATTTTCCCTGGGTGTGCATTTTGTTTATATATTAAGCCGAAACACATGCCACTTAACACCTTTTAAGTGCCTGAAATAAGCAATTATATCACTTAACACATTTATTAGAGGATGCATTTTGAGTATACGATTTTCAGAATCAAGCAGTCAGCTAAGACTTCTATGACTTTTTAAAAACAACAATTTATATTTGACTCAAAAATTAGTTGAAATTAAGAAATGATATCAATATGTTTAGCATAGGGGTAAACGACTGACTTTGTGTTAACAGTAGTTAATGGTATATATGATATTTTAATATTAAAAATTAAATGTCATATAAAACAATTCATTGGAATTTTTATTAAAGGCATAATCATATGCTTAACGGAAGTCGTATGCCGTCAGAGATCATTATTTACTGGCTCTTGGTACAGAACCACCCTTCAAACACAGAAGTACAATATTTGTCGAGTGTAATGGATAGCAGCCCGTTCGACTTCCAGTTCTCTTTATAGCTATCATTTGTTAGGCGTTCGTGCTATTTCCGTGCTGTGTAAATATGCGGGTCGACCAAACAACCCCGAATCGGAGAGGAGGTCTCTAATCCGGGGACCAATTCTGGGAGATAGAGCGCATTCTTCACGCTGGCGTTTTCCTCTTACCTGCAGTTTCGTTTTCTGTTTACTACCTGGAGCATTAACACCGTTTCGAGGTTCATGTTGTTGGGCAATCGTTAAAAACTATTTTATGGCTATGTTAGATTTATAGACTTGGCTACTGCGGCCAAAATATTAGCACTGTTCGCTCGTGCCAGGTTGACTGCCGCCTGTGATAAGGTTATCTTGAGATTAAGAACTTTTGCCTCCGCGATCGTAAATCCAGTTTACGTAAAAGCTTTGCTTTTCCGAACAAGGTTTTCGATTTCCAAAATTGTGTTTTACCTTAGCATTTGGGTGGTATATCTAATCTTAGAACAAGTACATGGAAGTTAATTGATAAGGTTTTCTTTCGATAAGAGTGCACCAATCTAAAAATATTATTTTTCTTCTATATGCAGTTGGAGCACCGCAAGAACTACCAGGATGAGACCGAGGAACGTTTCCGCCTTAAGATCTTCAACGAGAACAAGCACAAGATCGCCAAGCACAACCAGCGCTTTGCCGAGGGCAAGGTGAGCTTCAAACTGGCGGTCAACAAGTACGCCGATATGCTGCACCACGAATTCCGCCAGTTGATGAACGGCTTCAACTACACTTTGCACAAGGAACTGCGGTAAGTAAAAATGAATTCTACTAAAGAGCTGCTCACTTACTGTGGAAATCATTTACAGCTCTATGGATGAGAGCTTCAAGGGCGTTACCTTCATCTCCCCGGCTCATGTTACCCTGCCGAAATCCGTGGACTGGCGCACCAAGGGCGCTGTGACCGCCGTCAAGGATCAGGGACACTGCGGCAGCTGCTGGGCTTTCAGCAGCACCGGCGCTCTGGAGGGTCAGCATTACCGCAAGTCCGGTGTCCTGGTCTCGCTTTCCGAGCAGAACCTGGTCGACTGCTCCACCAAGTACGGCAACAATGGATGCAACGGTGGACTCATGGACAACGCCTTCCGTTACATCAAGGATAACGGCGGCATCGACACCGAGAAGTCGTATCCCTACGAGGCCATCGATGATTCGTGCCACTTCAACAAGAACTCGATCGGAGCCACCGATCGGGGTTTCGTCGATGTGCCCCAGGGTGATGAGGTGAAGATGGCTCAGGCAGTGGCCACCATTGGACCCGTTTCCGTTGCCATCGATGCCTCGCACGAGTCCTTCCAGTTCTACTCGGAGGGCGTCTACAACGAGCCCCAATGCGATGCCCAGAACTTGGATCACGGTGTCCTGGTCGTTGGTTTCGGCACTGATGAGTCGGGAGAGGATTACTGGCTGGTAAAGAACTCGTGGGGAACCACCTGGGGTGACAAGGGCTTCATCAAGATGCTGCGCAACAAGGATAACCAGTGCGGCATTGCCAGCGCTTCCAGCTATCCATTGGTTTAATCCAGAAGTGATGTATTTTGGCCACAGCCTGCATATGATAATGATATACAAACAACAAACAAACAAACACATACCAACGCAAGCATCTCAAGAACGAACTTTAATAACTTAGCCCAACCTCTTACTTTAATGATTTATCTTCGTATTGGGTCCATTGTATTCATGTATCTCTGCCATCACATACGATATAGGTGAACAATTAAACCGTTGATGTTTGTAGAAAATTAAATAAAAAATATATAATTTTACAATATCTTTGATTTTTATTTTTAAAAATGCTGAATTTTTTATGTATTATTTGAAAACAATTAAAACAAACACGTTTGAGCGAAAAATATTTAGAGCTTAAAACAAAAATGATAATCTTTTAGGAATGCTAAAAATTGGTGCTGATTAAGTAATTTTTGATTTAATAACTTTCTTCTTTAAATTTGTACATGTATTTCGTATAATTATATTTTATATGGGTTAAAAACATTAATTTAGTTTTAAACTGTATTAAATGATTTTTTTTTTTTAAATTAAAATGATAAGAGAAACGTTATAAAAAGTTCAAATATTGTTATCGATAACTTCAGAATACCCCTATGCTTCCAGTTATTAAAGTACAAACAGAACCAAAGTTTTCCACCAGCTTATCAATTTAGGCGCAGGTCTGGTCACACTTGTGAAATTAAGCAATAACTTTGCGAACAGAACAAAATATGCAATAGTTTATTGAAGCAAATCAATAAAAGTCCCTCCGAAATGCTGTTGACACTTCGAGTGCAGGGACCTCGGCAATGGGTAAAGTCAACCCGATTCCTGGCCAGCAGCGCTGCCCCGGAGAAGTCGCCATCCGCCCATTCGCAGCTGGAGGTCAATGGGAGCACGTACGCCACCGACGGATGGACGAATGTAACGCCCAAGATGCTCTCCTATCTGGGGGCCAACAAGCACCTGCAGAAGGATCACCCGCTGTCCATCATCCGCCAGCGCATCGTTAACTATTTCTACGGAGCGTATCGTAACCAGCGGGGAAATCCCCTGTTCTCCGTCTACGACAAACTTAATCCAGTGGTCACTGTGCAGCAGAATTTTGACAATCTACTGATACCCGCTGACCATGTGAGTCGCCAGAAATCGGACTGCTACTACATCAATCAGCAGCATCTGTTGCGCGCCCACACCACCGCCCATCAGGTGGAACTGATCTCGGGCGGACTGGACAACTTTCTGGTGGTGGGCGAGGTGTATCGGCGGGACGAGATCGACAGCACCCACTACCCGGTGTTCCATCAGGCAGACGCCGTGCGGTTAGTCACCAAGGACAAGCTATTCGAGCGCAATCCCGGACTGGAACTGTTCGAGGAGACGTGGTCCGGTTCGGTGGCCGATCCGAAGCTTATTCTGCCCTCCTCCAAGTTCATGGACCAGACCAAACAGCCCTGCCACACCCTGGAGGCCGTCAAGTTAATGGAGCACGAGATGAAGCACGTGCTGGTGGGTCTGACGAAGGATCTGTTCGGTCCGCGCATCAAGTACCGATGGGTGGACACCTATTTCCCCTTCACCCAGCCCTCGTGGGAGCTGGAGATCTACTTCAAAGACAACTGGCTGGAGGTGCTGGGGTGCGGCATCATGCGCCATGAGATTCTCCAAAGATCCGGCGTCCATCAGTCAATTGGCTATGCCTTCGGAGTCGGTCTGGAGCGTCTGGCGATGGTGCTGTTCGACATACCCGACATTCGGCTCTTCTGGTCGAATGACAGTGGCTTCCTATCGCAGTTCAGCGAAAAGGACCTGTACAGTCTGCCCAAGTACAAAGCCATCTCCCACTATCCGCAGTGCACGAACGACCTGTCCTTCTGGCTGCCTGAGGATGTGGAGGTGGATGCTGGCTTTTCGCCGAACGACTTCTACGATCTGGTCCGCTCTGTGGCCGGGGATATGGTTGAGCAGGTTGGACATCCGATTACTTGATCTTATCTAAGTTGTCCACTTATTCTTGTTCCAATTACAGATCAGCTTGGTGGACAAGTTCAAGCACCCGAAGACGGGAAAGTCGAGTGTCTGCTTCCGCATCGTCTACCGCCACATGGAGCGCACCCTCACCCAGGCGGAGGTCAACGAGGTGCACAAGCAGATCGCCAGTGCCAGTGTCGATAGTTTCAATGTGCAAATACGTTAGTCATAGTCTAGTTCTGTTTCAATTTAAACCAAAAAAAAAAAAGAAAAACACCAGTAAAGTTAGCCAAGAAAGCCAGGTATTTTATATGGTTTTAAAGCACTTGACATTTTGTTCCACCCACTCGTTGGCGCTGTTCAAAAGTTTGGGATTGTCAATGAACTCCTTCTGTGGCTGACTTGCTGTCTTGGCCCCGCTGCGCACGAAGCCCGCCTCTCCTTTGTTAAGGACTCCCACGGCGGCCATTTGGTGCATGTTTACAGACTTGTTTTCGCGAAAGCTTTTGATGCTCAGGTGATCGAGTAGCTTACCGAGATCCTCCTGCTTTACGGGGCTCTCCAGGAAGCCAGCTATGCTGTGAATGGTGCCGGGAAGATCAACCAGCATGTCCTCGTAGCGCAGGAAGAGCACATTGGGTAGATGGGCATGCTCGCGAGCCTCCTTCACATGACTATAATACGGCAACCAGGGATCTGCAAGAAGGGATTGATAAGGATACTAATCACTAAAGAAATGCTTATTTACTTAATCCTTGCTGGAAATAGCGCCAATAACGCTCGAAATCTCCCACATAACCCTGGGTTCTAAAGAGTCTGTTCAAATGGTAGTAGGAAACAGCCACATCCTTGGGATCACGAACCACATAGATCACCTAAAAAGACGATTTCCTTACTATATATTAGGATTTCTAATAACGATGTTGTTTTAAAAATAAGTTGTATAGTTAAGATAAAACAACGCACTTTGCATTTGTTTTCCATAACACTTGGCGGCAGCAGAGAAAAAGGAAAATGGGTTTTAATAAATCGCCGCTCCGAGCGCGGAAGTTCACTCAAAGTCTCGTAGCCCGGTCGGGAAATCTGCTCAATAAACTCCAGGGCTTCAGCCGAATCTTTGTTCTCCTCCTGCAACTCCTCCTTCACCTTGGGATGCACAAAAAGAGGGAATCTGAAGGAAATACAAGAGATCTTAGTACATAAGATTGAATCACAGGACATAGACTTACTCCAAGAATGGAAAACGCTCGGTGAGCGGTCGTCGCTGCGCCTGCTGGAAATCCAGCCCGTTGGCCACTAGCCAAATGAGCTCCTGCGTCCAAGTGGTCCCCGATCTGGGCACCGTGACTATCCAAATGTCATCCGATCGAGCCTCGAAATTGTAATACTTCTCGGCCTCCTCCTTGTACTTGTGCGGAAAGAAGTATCCCTCCGGTCCGACTTGAACGAAGCCAGTCCGCTCACCTGAACGGAAACGGAATGAAATATCATCCGGAAATTGGATACTTTACTCATTAGATATACCATGGAAATAGTCCAATAGCTCCGCACTGGTGGACTCCTCCACATCGCGAATTTCGTGGGGAAACTTGATGGGCGTATTTTCCATTGCTCGCGCGACCAGTTGTCAGCACTGACTGAGGAACAGAGCGTTGAGAAAGCGTCTTGACCTCACTTTCGGGCCTTTAGAGAAAGTGCCAGCTGCTGGCCTGGATAGTTAAAGCACTACGCTGCGCTGCTGCTTGGCTAAGCGCAATTTAAATACACTTGTTGCTTCAGTTTTATGTACTTGCTGGAGAATCACGCTGACTCTGAGTTTTTCGAAAAGGTGTGTCCCATGTGGCTTAATTAGCCAAGACAGATTTTATTGGGGCATCAAAGGTTTGTTTATTATCATCGTGGCCAAAAGGTTAATGGACGCGTCTTTAAAATAAGATACTAGTGAATTCTTTAGCGGGAGAAGCTATGCTGTGTGAATATTATCTAAGAGTAATTAACATTCATAAGCATTTATTTTGCAAACTGTTAAGATTTTGGTATCTCTTATCATCTACTTACGATGCGTTTATAACTTGACAAGTGTTTTGGCGATGTCATAAGAAGAATAAATATCTCAGACCTCTCAGTATGGTTTAACCACACAGAAAAATTTTAATGAATGATCGTTTACAAGAATATTATTTGTATAAATATCCATTTCTTTTTTGTACAATATAAAAACGTTATTCTTAAACTTTCAGTAATGAAATGAAAATTGGATAAAATATTACTTTAAATTTTAAAAAAATATATAATAATTGAGAATATTAATACATATTGAAGTTTGGAAAAAATACAATGTTTTATTTTATTTTTAATTTCGATAAATACAAGTATAGTAATGCCAAATTATAAATATGAAAAACTTAAAGCTGTACTTTACTTCTGTTTCTAATAAATGCACTACGAATGTGGACAAAAGTTAATTTAGTTATATTAGCTAATTCCCAAAAAAATGTAAATAATTTTAAAACGCCTTTACTAGTACAAAACGACACTGATAATTTGAGACATATGTTAATTCCTACGCGATTTGGTCAGTTTCTTATTTAATCGTTCAGGTCAACGTTGTCAAAGAGACTCATCAGCTCCTGCTCCTTCCGCTTGATGCGATCCTGAATGGTGGTCACAGACTCGGCCTTGGGAACCGAGGATTGCACGCGGCTGAAGAAGTCGTCCATGGACTTGAAGACGTTCTGATACTGGTTGTCGTAGACGGCATACTGGATCGATGGCGGCTTCTTGGGGATCCGCTTGGTCACGGCATTCCGGAAGGAGAACTCCTTCAGCTCGTCCAGGTGCAGCTCCTCCTGTTGCTCGTAGGCAGCAAATCGGCGTGTCGACTGCCGCTCCACCTTTGCCCTGAGCTCACGTCGCTCCCGATCGATTTGCTCCACCAGGTGAGACGAGGGACGCATAGTCTTGGTATCGCCGAGGATAAGGGTGTGGTCACGGATCTCCGACTCGTTGGTCTGGATGCCCGCCTCCAGCAGCTCATGGGGCTTGGACTCCGCCTCCTCCACCGGGACACTAAGATCCTCCAAGGGAGCGACTTCTTCGACCACTGGAAGCTTGCCTTTGCGGAGATTCGAGCTGAAGCCTCCGCCAGCCGGACGACTTGGCCAAAGTCGTGCTCGTGCCGCCTGCTTGGCCTCTTGGCTCATCACCCGCTGCTTCGCTGGCCTCTTGACCTCCGGTTCGCGGTTCTTCGGTGCAGGAACTTGCGGCTTGACCTTCTCCAGATTCGCCAGTTGGAACTGCTGTTTGGCCGTCTGCTTATTGGTGCTGGCCCTCAAGGACGAGGCTATGGTGGGTTGCACCAGGCGAGCTGGAGGATTGTACTTGGCCAGGCGACGACCTGGCTGCTTCCAAGCCGCATCGGTTCCTCCATCGCCCGCTCCGCCGTGAACAGTCTTGCGTGTTCCCGCCGTTTGCGTCGATAGAGGCGCCGCTAACTTGGAACGCACCGTGATCCCGGAGGTTCGGTTACCTCCTCCTCCTCCTCCTCCACCGGTCCTGCCAGATGAGTTCATTATCTCAAAGAGATATTGGTACTTCACGAGTCAGAATCTTAAATTTAAATTTTACTAAGCTTGAGCAGTTTTAATTTGCTATTTGAACTGGTTCAAAGCGATAACGAAAAATGTGTGTGGAAAATAATTGTTGTCTAACCCGTGACACAATAATAATGTATCATTGGCTTACTGGGATCTTAATAAAGTCGAAACTGATTGCTTAAAGACATACTATATTGCATTATTAAATAAAAGATTACGAAAGAACAGTTCTTAAAGTATTACTTATTGGTTAGTCATTAGTTATCAGCATTAAATTGATCAAATTATACATAAAATTTATCAAATTATACGACAATCCATTGAAAGTACTGTGAGGATCACAAAAAACATCACTTTTTGGATTACAACGGGTCTACAGAAGAATTTAACGGTATTATTGTATACTTAGTTAATAAAGACAGTTATCTTTAAAACCAAAAATAAAATTAGGGGCGTTACCAATATTAATAAATACTTTAAAACAAGTTACCAGGAACTACAAATCTCTTTTTATCTTCGACAACGGTAATCTCAACAAGTATATAAAAACAAATCAACAACACATATGTTTGAATATTTATTTATATCAAATGTTTACAAGTTTAATTAACCGGGAAATATATAGTCATTTTATCTTTATTTATTTATTTGTCTGATAAACCGGGGAATACATAGTCATTTTTTCTGCATTTATCTGATCTCTTTACATGGACATTTGAGCACTGAATCAGATCGAAAAGCAGTTTATACAAAACGCTTTTATTATTAAGTCATTATAGTCTTACATATCTATGGAAAAATTACAGAACTATATTGTGCGGGATGTTAATATCTGTCGGTCAAGTATAAAGTTAAATACCGATTCTCGCACTCTGTAAATTAAAATACGGATTAAAACACCCAAAGTCAAACCTAAAGACTGAATCGCGGCCAATATTTTCGATTTGTGCTACGGAATTTGCCTTCCTTGGCATAAATCGAAAATCTGGGGCAATTTCAACCGAAAAGTGTTCACTTTGAGAGCTCCATGTCTTTTGCAAATATCAACTATATTCGCAAACTATATGCGAACCAGTGGAAAAGCAGGAAAAAAGTTTGGGGCCACCATTCTCTTTGGCCTGATCTTCTATTGGTCGCAAATCAGGTGCGAATCTATTTGGTAGTTGTTTTTGCTACTTGGCACATGGATGATCGCAGATCGCACAAATGCCAATAGCAAAGTCAAAAAGGGAACCGCACAATTGCATGTTAATCCAAGCAACCGCTCAATTCCCATATATTTTTGGTAGTCTCCGAAGAGGCTACAATTATGAAATGATGCATGTGGACTTCTTCTGCCTCGGCGGAGGCGTTGGAGGAGATGGCGGTGGCGACCACCCGAAGTTGTTCCAGCTCCCGTGGGGCTCGTGAAATGGTGGCGCACGTCGCTGCTCGTTGAAGGGCGGCTGGCGCTGATACTCCGGCTGCACAGGGGGACGCATATTCTCGAACCTTAGGTGTCCACTGGGAATGTGTTGATAGGCCGAAGACCTGGTGGTGGTGGATTTCGGTGGTGACAGCGGTGGAGCGCTGGGCTCGGGCAACTCAATGCCCCACGGTACGCCGTTGGTGAAGCGTTGCTCGCGACGATACGATGGAATGGGCTGAGGTTCCGAGGCCTTGGGTATTGGAGGTCTGTAAGACGGAGCCATCTGGGCTTCTGGAGATCGTGAAGCTGACGCTTGAACTGCTCCCAATGATGATTTTGGAGTCGGCTGTGTCCTAAGAACTGGGGTCGCTGATCCACCAGCATTTTCCTTGCCCTTCAGTTTCAAATCATTTAGCTGGGACGTTACCAAACGAACAGCATCCGAATCGTGGTCCACATAGCGTGGCACCTTGGGCAAATCGTCGAATAACTGCTCCACCTCCGATTTGTGGGCCTTAATCTCAATGCCCACCTTGAGCAGCTCATCCTTGCTGTAGCACATTTTAACTGCCTGAGCTGGGTTTTTAGCATTGGGAGCTAGGTGGCGAAAAGAAATTCGGTTAGAAATTAGAAATTACTTTAGGCGTTTATGGCCGGAGAAACAAGTAACCGGGAAATTTTAAAATTTATGGAGAAGTGGTGCCAATTTATTATGTGTTAAGAGCAGTCATCGATAGATAATTTTTTGAACACCACATGTTTCTCTGGCAACATACTAATTCATATAAGTATATACTTCGCTTTAGGGGATGACCCAAGCCGGGTGCAGGCTGCTCCACAGCAGCTTTTCCTCGGGCATTGCTCTGTCCGTTTTGCTTATTCGGATTGACATCGTCGCAATAGTACGGAGATCCGACCAACGTCTTACGGTCCCGACACATATCTATTATCCGGCGGAAGTCGTTGTTCTGGCTCAGCGTTTTCGGATTTCCAATGAGAATAAGCAGTGACATCGGACGCGAAAGCAGAACGTTCAATCGCTAAGGGAAGAAACAATGTTAGCTCAATATTTCCCACACTTTTCCTCCTCATAACTCGAGTTATATTCTCAGCACACTTACGCGTTCGTTGTTCAAGAAGCCCAGCTTTGGAGTAAAGGATCGAACAAAGGACACGATGATCACCTGCTTCTCCTTTCCCTGAAAAGTCTCAACGGATCCGCAATCGATCTGCGACCAGTTGCGCATGTTCAGCTGTTCTTGGATGCGTTGGTACTGGTTCTTATACGGCGATATGATGCCAATGTCCGTCTGCAGCACCGGATCACCATTGAGCCCGAAGTACATAAGGTCCTTGACGTAGTCCATAACCGCGTCAATCTCCTTATTGTTGCACAGACTGCAAAATACAACAAAATGTATTTACGATCTGTATTTAATTTAAAACAAAATATTTGAATAGAAAAAGCTTTTACCAGGTTCTAGAACCGGTTGGGAATTATAAATAATATACATAATACGGCAAAATATATATAGCTATCGTTAAAGCAATTGAACAAACATTTAGAAACTATTGCAATGCCAATTTGTATACATTGTTCGCCTCTTCGTTTTACTTCTAATACCTACTTGGCTATCCTTTTGGCTAAGCACTCACCTAACAGAGCCTTTGGAGTTCATTACAGAGCCGAATACCGAGTGGAACATAATGGGAAAATCAGCATTGGGCATGTGAAACCAGTCTCTAAAGCGACTAACACTTTCTGAAATGGAAAACGCATATGATGATGATTCTAGGGATACGTAAGGCAACACTCACCCCTGGGCGCCTGAGCCAAAAGTTTCCCGCTATAGTACAGATCACTATACAAGGAAACGATCTCCGGATGGGAGCGATAGTTACGGAGGAGGCGCGTCTGCACAGACTTATTGTAGCTTCCATCCACTTCCACCTTGTAGCACTTCCTCGTAAGAAGTCGTTCGAAAAGCGACAAACCCAGACCCCATTCGTTGGCCCTTTGAGACTGCAGCACCGGTCCCAGTTGCTTGTGATCCCCGGAAAGGATCAGATTCGTCGTGGGCGAAATGGTGCAGGTGATGCCCATCAAGGCTTCCGCTTCGGTGGAGGCAGCCGCTTCGTCCACAAAAACATGCGAGAAGATATTCCCCTTGGCGAACCCACCAGTCGACAATTTTCCGGCCAAGCTGAGGGTGCAGATTACAATGCGGTATTCATGCACCGCCTGAACGGCCGGATAAAAGTGCAGAGCGTACATATTGCTGTACTCCAAGAGCAGATCATCGATATTGTCGATACGCCGATCGCAGCTGGCGGCAAAGATGCGGGTAAGTGGCCGTGGCTGACTGTCCGGAGCTTTGGCGATTGCCCGGAGCAGCCGGAGAGCCACCTCGTCGCAGGCTGTATTCGAGCCAGCCAGCACGAGGATATGGGTTTCCGGTCGACGTACGTATAACTGATAGATGGCCTCGCAAATGGTGGAAGTTTTGCCCGTTCCCGGTGGTCCGAACACGATATACGGAGCAGGTAAAGTCTTGCTAAGTGCTATCTGCTGCACCGCCTGCAACTGCTCCGGATTGCTCGCTATACGCCGGTTGTTCAACTGTAAGCTGCTATAGGCAATCGACTGGGGAGGAACTTCGCCTGGGAAGAGGATCCTCTGCACATCGCTGGCTCTTGTGAGGGAGAGCTGCTGAAGTGCGCGGTATTGATAGCGCATGACTGCTCGCACGGGACGAAATATTAATGTGAAGGTCGTGTTGTCCGGCAACTGGCGTTCGCAAGTGATGTTCACTCGCTGCGTGGAAACACCGAGAACCCGAGCAAAGTAGACACGCGGTTGCTTGTCCAGCGATCCAAATTGCTCGTCTATACCGCGAGCCCACTGCACAATCGAATCGAAATCCTTGAGAGCCAATTCCAGCACTCGGTGGTTGTTCTCCAATTGCTGACGTACACCCGATTCTGGGTTGCCTTTTTCGTTGATGATCAAGACGTCATCGCCTGGCGACAGGACATCCTCCCCACTCATTTTGTTTGCGCCCAAGGAAAGCTTCACCGAGAGCTCCCGGCCAAACTGATGCAGCTCCACTTTGGACTGCTTTAGGCCCAAATAATGCTGCAGCCTTTCGATGTCCTCCACCTGGAGCAGAGTGCGCAGAGTGCCCCCGATGTTCTCCTGGGTGATCTCCTTGCCCAATTCGCAGTAGTTGCGATAGTGCTTGTCAAAGTCCGCCAGCCGCACCTGGGCATCCTCGTGCTTCAGGGCTGTAACCACCTGGGTGGGTGGATTGGCCGGTGGAAGTCCCTGGCTCTTGAAGGTCTCCTTGTTGGACAGACGATATGGATTGATGTTAAAGCTGGCCTTGGGTAGCGCCTCCGTACGCATAAAATGGTGTTGCTCCACGTATCTTTGGCCCTGGCTGGTGAACCCGATCACGATGGGCTGCTCCCGGAGAATCATGAAGACGTGCGAGTCCACAAAGAATACCAGTTCCCCGCTCTCCGGCACCTTCAACGGCATACGGGCATTGTTCACGTAGTAAAACTGCCGCGACTGCACTATGATGAACTTGTCCACCACCATATCCTTGCAATTGGTCTTCAGGGTGAATCCAAAGTAGTGGCTTTCCAAGCAGGTCTGATAAGAGAGGGTCAGCATCGGCGAGACACTGTTGAGAAGGCAATAAAAAATAAATAAAATTAAATATTCAATTTAAAAAAATACATTTTTATCCTACAAATGTATATGTAAAATGTATCTAGAGATTTTCTGCAAACCAAAATTGGGGAACTTTTCCCCTCTTAAGCTCTTTACACCTATAAAATTCTACTTAATTAGATGATATCTTATTAACTATAGAAACTTACAACTTGAGCATCTTTGTAAGCGACATAAAGTCGGACTCATCTCCATGGAACTCCACATGGTCCTCGTACTTCTCAATCGTGTCAAAGTTCACCTGGCAGATATAGCAGCCCAAGGAATTAAGCTCAAAGTCCTTTCCCGGTTCCTGCGCCTGGGTTTTTTGGTATTTCAGAAGCGTAGCCGTTGCCTTCATATCGAGTTTATATTCTGCAAACAAAAGTTGAAGGAAGGAAGTTGCGAAAATTGCTAAATTCTTGGATGGACTACCTTCGGTTATGGGTTTATTGCCTTCCACAGGAGCTTCAATAACAATGGTCTTGACCGCGGATTGCACAAGGCGAAGCTGTTCGTCGAACAAATTAAACTTCTCCTTCCGAAAGTCCATCAAGGAGAAGCTCCTAATGCGGTAATTATTGTTTCCCCGCGGCGTGTTGACCAAAAAGTTGGTCCTATGCAGCAGAGATCCAATCTATTGCGTTTGAAGACAAAAACGAAACGTTGCATTCAATATCAATATTTATTGTTTACATGAAAGCCCAGCTGACTTATTTATAATTCCCATTGCAGTCCGACTTTTGTGTTATCTGATCGGTCAATCCGCAATCTGCAATGGCGTAACTCAAGAATAGATTATAGCCATTGTTTTTGTTAAAGAAAAAAAAAGACGGGGGAATCACATGATTCAGTTTTCAGAATTTAGCTTTAGTGTTTTTCTATTATGTTATCCGGTTAGCATAATAAAAAACACATATTTTTCTAATCCGACATACATATGTTGAATAAATGGAAATCATGTATAAAAACCTTGAAACCATTTTTTTAATTCAAAATGTGTACATTGTAGCGTTTATAGAACATAAGTTATAAAGGCATAAACATGAGTTTTTTTAATTTGAAAAACTATATTAATGACAAATTTGTATCAAATTTTAAGGGTTTTTGAAAGTGTTGTTTGTTTGTATTTGAAGCCTGTGAGTTGAGTGAACGCAAACATCCACTTAAGTACAGATGCGTGCTATAACATATTACATTTCTTAACGAGTTTTCGGTTGTCCCCCTGCTCTAGTTTCAAGTAATAAAATCAGGTTTATTTTTCAACTTAGTCGATCTTCACATTAGGGGTTGGGTTTCAGAACAATAACCACTTATGATTAAAATAGATGTTTGTAGGATTTGTTTGTTACAATTACATTTGAGCTGTTGTAATTCAATTACATTGCCTTGATTCGCATTATCTATAACATGTTTAAACTATTTTTCCACGTAAACTAAAACAGTTATATAGCGAACCGGAAAACCGGTAGATAATTACTAGTATAAAGGGCTCCAAATAAACCTGATATACAATAAGTTTTAGCTCCCACCTGTGAGTCCCCGAAACTTGTGTTAATCCCCCATTGAACTGGCATGCAATTAAAAGTAAAATGATGAAATAAAGTCTAATCGCAATATTTATTTATCGGTAAACTTTCACGTTAATACCGGGTAATAATAATAGCGACATCTTTACGGTTATTAGAAGATTGTTATTAGAAGGGAATTATCCCCGGATTTGGCCATCTGAAAGATAAACCCGCTGGGGTAAACCCACATCTGGATGACTCATGTGCTTGAAAGAATTCAAAAACGTCTAGCCAGCAAATCATTTGGACACACCGGCGATCGGATGTGTCTGTGTTTGTGAGAATTGTTGATAATACGAAGCGAATGTTTGACGCTGTCGCGGAACAAAGGAAAATATTGCAAAAAAAAAAACTCTTATCTCGGGAAGCGTAGAAAATCGTTTTGGTTGTAAATATTCTAGATCTTTACCTCCCTCTGAATAATATTGGAAAGCTTGCATTTTCTTTAAGAAATATTGTAAGGGAACTTTTTTATACTGTTAAGATAAAATTGTAATGTAAATAACATACAATAAATTATGTACGCCGAATATTTTCTTTTTTTTTTTTTACAAAAAGTTCATTATTAAGAGTTTTTTATTTTCATATATTTTGCTTAAATATCTTTAAAGTTCTGACTAATTTATTATTATTCAATTAAATTTAGCAATACTCTTTCAGAAGTGTATATTATCAAAACGGAACTGTATTTATAATTTACTATACGACATAACTTTTTTAAAAGTGATATTTTTTAACAAGCTATTTTGTTATTAAATCAACATTTCATAAAAAATTCGTAGAAAAATTCAACATGCCGCGATTCTCGGGACAAAAGAAATAAAAAAGTGATAGCTCACTATCATATTCGGTACTCACATTCCAGGCTCCGTTAATGGATAGCTTCAGGCGGAGCTCAGTGCAGTTGGGCTGGGCCCCCAAATGGGCGTCGAACAGCTGCCGCATCTTGGACTTCTCCACGTACCACTCCGTTTGGGCACTGATCACCTGGCGTTCGGCCAAGTCCAACAGAAATGATCCGATGAACTCGCGCTCTGTTGCCGGATTAGTCGGTCGATGTGAAAGGAGGGAATTGGTCATTTAAAAAAAGGGTTTAAATCTCAAGGTTTAAAGCTCACCCCACGGCACCGGCGGCTTCCCAAGCATTCCATTGGCGTATGTGCCAGGAGCCTTGATTCCGTTTTTTAAAGGAGGCGTTCCCGTTGGGGTCAACATATTTGGCGGAGTGCAGCTACCATCGGTTTTATTGTTATTGTTGTTTTTTGCGGCGGCTGCCTTCTTTTTCTGACTTTTAGTTTTAGTCATTTTGTCTAAATGTTCGTTTTCTAAATATTTTTTTTTTTTGTTGTCTTTTTTTCAATACACTCACTCACACAAGGGAAAGATCGATATTTGTATGGTTAAACGTTTTTGGTTTTCTGAAGTACGATCGCAATAAAAAGTTAGTTATTCAACGCAAACACAAAGCTTAACCAGAGAAGCACACAGACGTATACATATACTATATAGAATAGTCGCGCAGCTGATCGAAGTGCACCGCGCTACGTTTAGTAAATGAATAAGGCGAACGATGCAGCGGCGTCTTTTTATATACGTGCAAGGGCGCGCGTCGGGGGAGGAACAAAAAAGTATTTCAAAATTTAAAAAAAAATTATTAAATAAACTATAAAAAAGCAATCTGTGCGATAATTAATCAAATTGCCGTTTTAAATTATTTAAAAGCGAAAATAAAAGTAACCAAAAAGCAATTTTAACCCTATGCCTGCGACACTGTGTGTGTTTGCTTGTGTTTGTGTACGGCAGAAAAGCTTTTCGCAATAACGGGGATCAGTTCATTAGAAATGGAATAAAATTCTTTTTTTTTTTAGAGATGTGACTTAATAAACGGAAAAGAACATTCTCTGCCGCTATACTTACATATAACTGCAAATTTTGTTTATTTGATTTTTTGTTAATATGATTCCTTTTAATTAGGTCTGACCTTTGAAATGTTTTCTCTTCCTCAAGTGTGAGCGTGTGTATTTATGTATTGGAATTTTAGCGGGTAACACAAATCTAACTAAAATGAATTCATGACGAAAATACTTTGACGAGAAATTCGTGGAAAGTCCCGAGTTCGAATTCAGGTTTCTTGTCTGATCGTCGTTATCGAACCTATCGTGGGAAAGCGCAAGTTCGATTTTAAAAAAACGTGGTCCCACTATTAAACGAAAAGTCAGTCAAATTATTCTCTTAACAATCTTAGAGAAATAGCGATTTTTTTAAAATAAATTTCCCTGAGAATAACTTTAGATAAGAAAATGTTTTATATATAAACGTTACGACAGTTGGTCTAAATGATCTCAGTATTTTATTTTATGGTGGCTTAAGCTAAAAATAAATAAAAAACAGTTGATTTTTAAGCAAACAATTTTATTAAAAAACAGGTCTTCAATATTTAACAAATATATAATCCATTTTTTTTTTGTTTCCAAATTAATTATCAAAAAGTTTGTAAGAAAATTGTTTATAAGTATAACACTTGAATTGACTTCCCCATTTCTTAAGCTTTTCTAAAAAGCTTAACAAGGGTACCAACAAATTTAAAGCATTTCATAATTTTATATTATTATTTATAAGCTTAACAGAATCTTGTACCCTTTATATTTGACTAAAAAACAAATAAAAAAAAATGTTTTGAATTTATTGAATATTTTTTTATTTAGAATTAAGGCTTAGAGCTACTTAACAATGTAAACAAACCCCTACTTTTTGGCCAGCTTCAGCTTCTCGGACCCAAAGATGACACCAGTGTCGCCTAGTTTGCGCTTCATAGCAAAGGGGTTGACCGAATTGAGGGGAGTCCTCAGATCCGGGGATTTTCCCATAGGAACCTCGGATTCGGATTCGCCAAATATGTTTTCTTGGGTATCCAACGGAGAGGGTGTAATATCCGGAGTCGAAGGGCGACTTGATGCCGACGCCGATTTAAACATATTGGGGGAGTTGGCTAATCTCTTCGAGGTACCCCGCTTGGCCGAGCTCAGTTCAATAGTCTTGGGCTTGGGACCGCTCTGCGAGGCAGATGTTGGTGTCATGGGCAGGACAATGGTGGCAGAAATTCCACTGGCTCCCAACAAAGTCTGCTGCTTGCGGGCCTCCTGGACAGCCTCCAATTGCGGCAGCAATTCACACAAACGATCGGAGAGGTGAATGCGCCCGCGCTTGGTGGCATACTTCACCGCCAGTTGGAGCAGATCCGTGCATGCGATCGACTCTATCAGCTCCCTAGCCCGCGTCTCACACTCACTGCTGCAGGCCAGGGCAAACAACTTAATGGCCGTTTCCTTCTGCACCTTCTCCGCACCCTCCATTTGCAAGAGGCTCGATCGCAGCAGGGCATCCTCTAGCTCGGACTTTTCCACTTCTATGTCGCACAGGGGGAACTGGATACGTAGCTCTTGAAGCATTGGTCGCGGATTGGTCATGGGGTAGGAGGTTCCACGGCACAATACCGCCTGGACTATCTGACGTCGCTCGGAAACCGCAACCACAAAATAGTTGTGCGATACGCTGGTGCTCTGCTTCATGGTGTCGCAGATGGGGAACCAAGCGTTGCTGCTCCTTCGGTACAACTGCAGCAGACCCATGTTGTCGGCGATGCTCGGCGATCCGGTGTCACTGTATCCCAACCAGGCAAGCTGTCTACCAGGAGTCAGCGGCACGGGAAAGTGTTCCTGCCGCAGGCTCAGACCATTTATGTTGACCAGCATGGCGGAGAGGTGCTGCTGCGTCTGGCTGGGTGCAGAGCTATGGTAAACCACCAACAGGCTGTGCTCGTGTCCGGCCAGAGCCACCACGGGTCCCGGAATGGTAAGCACCTCGCGCTGTGTGCCCATCACGGTGAAAATGCGCAGGAAACTCGAACTGGTGGCCACGGCCACTAGATGACTGGTTGCAACAAGGGCATCCACACTCTCGCAGTCCGGCAGACTAAGCGACCACTCCTTGTTGCCGGCAGCGGCCAGAGCAATCACCACCAGCTTGCTGGACTCGTTGGAGGCCAGGGCCAGGGCTCCACTGCTCAAGCTGGCCAAATTGTGTTGATTATAGTTACTGATGTGGAGGGCATGGTGGATGCTGGCATCGTGAAACTCCACGTCAATGGCGCCATCGCCCGAGGGCTCCACATGGGCGGTCACAATGCCCACATCGTTCCAGGCCATATATCGGTGCTCCAGATCGCTGGGCGTGGCACTCGGCTGAAAGGCCGCCTGCTGCTTAAAAAGCTTGATTTGCGGAGCAACTTCAACCGGAGCAGTCCTGCTGCTACTGGCCAACGATTGGTTTGAGGCATCATCGTTGTCCACGGGATTGGCGAAGTTCATCACCTTGCGTTTGAGTTGCTCCAGGCTCACACCATCGCCATCATCAGCTGCGGCCTCCAAGTCGTCGCCAGCCGCGAATTCATAGTCATCATCCATAAGCTCAGCCTGGTCATCCACCAATCCCTCGCCACCGCCTGCTTCGGTTGCATCACTGAGAAACACAGTTCCCAGCTGGCCAGTGGCGTCGCAGAAGGCCACCTCTTCCTCCCCCGAAAGATTCCAGGCCAGGCAGGTAATCGAATTACAGTCGTTAGGCGGCGTCTCCACTGCGATCGCCTTGCGTTTCTTCACATCAAAGATGCTTATCTCGCCCTTCGTTGTTCCGGCTGCCAGTCGTTCACCATTGGGCGAGAATTGGCAGCAACTGTAGTTGCTGGATACCGAGTCGTCGCGCAGCTTAAAGGCCACCTCCCAGTTGGCCGTGTTGAGGACCACAATCTCGTTGTCCACTGCGTATGCGAGGAGTTCACCGCTCTTTGGTTCAAAATTGGGGGTGCCATAGAGTGTGGCGTTTTCAAAACTGTTTACTTTGGGCAGACCACCGATGGTTTTCAGCTCTTTGCCATCCTCGAAGTTCCAGACCTTTAGCTGTCCATCTCCGGCCACGGAGACCAAGAGTTTTCGCTCCGCAAACATGTCGAGGCCCAAAACTGGACCCGTATGACCCTCCAGAACAGTATCGTTCCCAGCTGTATCTCCTTTTAACACCTTTATGGTGGTATCCTCGCTGCCAGCAGCCGTGTATCCACCGGAAACTTTGAGGCACGTTGCCGGAGCCGTAAATCGCATGAGGATGCCGTCGCTGTCCATCTCCGGAAAGGTGTACGCGTGGACTGTGTTGCGATCCGTGGAGGCCAGAAGACGGGAGCCCGTGTGGGCGATGCACATGACGAATTCGCCCAGGCAACTGGATCGAGGATCGTCATCACTGATGCAAGTCCAGTGGCGGATGTCTCCGTCTGTTCCGCACGTGATGATGAACTCGCCGCGCGGAGTGTAGAGCAGGCCCGTGTATCCATTGGTGTGCGCATACCGCAGAGCACTGCGCGAGAAACTCATGTTTGTCGATCAACTTTGGATTATGTTTTACACACAATTTCTTTTTTGCTTGATCTCCGCTAATTTTTGGCGCCAAAATATGCTATGTCCAAGTAGTGTAGGGCAACGAAGCTGTGCAAGTGATTTCGGTCGCATACAACACTGTTGGAACAGCTGCCCGGGAATTGTTATTATTTGTACCCTTTAATAAAGTACTTTCAGTTTTCATTTAAGCTTAGTTTAAGCCTATGCGGCAAATAAACATCTTGTCATTTAAATGTTTATGACCTTTTAAAATGTTGAAAGATATTCTTAACGTATTTGGATTATTTTAAGTAAAATAATAAAAATAAATAATAAAAAAATAAATTATAGGGTATCCCGTGATCGGATTGCCAAGAAAATTATTTAATATTGTCATTTTTCCCTCAGCCGGGTGCTTATTACAGCATTGCTAAAATCCTAAGCTGCATAATGTTAAGAAAATTAACTAAACTATCAACTTTAAAGGTGAGATGTGAGTTGCGTCCTCTCTCCTCGCTCGCCCAATCCCCACAAAATATATTTGATCGCAATGCCAAAAGATTGCAAAAGGAAAGAGCTGCCCTCAGGTAAGAATATCTGCAAATATACCTTTATATAAAAAGTGTCTAACAATTTACTAAATCCAATAGCGAAAATGTAGGCCTGTACGATTATCTCAAGGAGGAGGTTGGTTTCCGGCTGGCGGACCGCGTGTTTGACATCAAGCGGGAATTCAAGGCGGCGGCGGACATAGGATGCAGTCGTGGCTACCTGTCTAAGCACATTCTCGCGGAAAGCGTCGAGCATCTGACGCTGACGGACACCAGTGCCGCCATGCTGGAGCAGGCGCAGGGCACTCCAGGGCTCAAAATGTCGAAGCTAGTCAAGGATGAGGAGGAACTGGATGTGGGTAAATAAGCGAACCTACCCCGACTCACAATTATAAACCAGAACGATTTCCACTTTAGTTTGAGGAAAACTCACTGGATCTTGTCATCTCCAGCCTGAGTCTGCACTGGGTGAACGACCTGCCCGGCTGCTTTGCCAAAATCAAGCGAAGTCTTAAACCTGATGGGGTGTTCATAGCATCCATGTTTGGAGGAGACACCTTGTACGAGCTGCGTTCATCTCTGCAATTGGCGGAGCTGGAGCGCAAGGGTGGAATATCTCCGCACATCTCACCGTTTACCCAAATCCGGGATATTGGATCCCTGCTGAATCGCGCCGGCTTCACCATGCTAACCATAGATACGGACGAACTGGTCATAGGTTATCCCAGCATGTTCGAGCTAATGTGGGATCTCAAGGGAATGGCCGAGAACAATGCGGCCTTCAATCGGCCAGCACATCTTAGTCGGGAGACGATGTTGGCGGCCAGTGCCATATACCAGGAGCTGTATGCCAAACCCAACGAGAAGGGCATACCGGCAACCTTTCAAATCATTTACTTTGTGGGTTGGAAGCCTGGTCCCAATCAACCACAACCCCTAGAACGGGGAACGGGCGAGGTGTCCCTCAAGGATCTGGGATCCATAATCGAGAAGGGCGGCAAATTGGACACCAAGGCGGGGGATTAGCTTAGCTTCAGTTGACAGTTTTATTTTGAAACGCTCTTGAACATAATTTAAACTTAAATAAACATAATTCCGTTTGCTGAGAAACTTAAACTAGTGATTCATGTTCGTGTAAAGTTTTATCATGAAACTAATTATATAAATACTCATTTCATTTGTCAGTTTGTTCTGGTCGTGTACTGCTATGCTGGTATAACTATACATATATTCTAGCGTAATCATTCGATTCTGTTATCTATAGCTTTCAATTAATTTTTGGTTGCATTTCGCCTTTACATTCGTTTGCATTTCATGGACGTAACTTTTTAACGTTGCTTTGTATTTTCTTCGGTACGTATATACAAGTACAATTTACAACAATTTCTATAATATATGCTTAAGTTGAATTCAATATGCAATTAAATAGATTTCTAACCGCTTTGTAGTTGTATTAGATACGATTTGCTCTTGCTTAAATATTGTTCCATTAGCATTTTGCGTATATAATTCTCGATTGCTTTTTTATCAATTGTTTAACTCGTAACTGTTGTAAATTTAGTTTGGCGCATCTACCCCACAAGCGGGTTCTACTACCAGGTCGTGTCCCAAGCTTCTCTGCAAGCATAGTTCGTTTTCCCGCGGCATATGTACAATGAGTGTAGACTCCTGGAAGTCGACCAATGATCCGACTTCCTAAGGTAGTCCTAGTTCTAGTGGTTTCAGCGGTGGCAGGGCTAGAAGACTTAAGGCTAAGCAATGGCAGGCGACGGCTAGGACCAGGAACTAGGTGATCCCGCTCTGGTTGGCCGCCTCCTTTTGCCTTGCTAGTCATCCCAGCGATAGCGGAGATCTCGGCGGCACGGGCGGCGGTGTTGGCGTGGCTCTTGGCGAAGTGGTGGGGCTAACCCCCGATGCTCCTCCTGCCACGGCTAATCCCGTTGAGTTGGCTGTGGTTAACGTGTGGCGGTGTTCTGCAGCTGCCTGCGCGGAGGAGGACGCAGGCGGCAGCTGACGTCAGGTGCCCAGAAGCATCTCCCGCTGCGGAGTGTTCTGCAGCATGTTGGCGGTTCTCAGGTGAATACTGCAAGAAGATCAAGTTTTTGGGGGGTTATTGGATAAGACCAGCTTTACAGATTTTTACAACCAATAAAACCATTAATTATTTATAACATACTCGGCATATCTACTTACTTATTGTCCTCCAGCGACATTGTTTCCGACGAGCCATGCGAGGCAACTGAAGTACCTGCAAGCGAACTTCGTATTGAGTGCGAGTCCTCGGGAACAGTAAGCGTAACTAATAAATTGCGTTTATGGGTTTACGTTTGCAAGTTTTTCGTATTTTAGCAAGTTGATTTTGACCAATCCCAGTTCGTCGTGTTGCCAATGCGTTTGGAAAAAAGTTTGGTTTTTGGAAAATTGCATTTAGTTTTCGGTTGTGGTTGTTGTTGTTGTGATTGTGGCAATGTAAAATTTTGGTTAGCGGTATTAGTGTTGTTGTGGTTGTTGTTTGTGAGGTGCAAATCGAATTAAATACTTCGGAATAATACTGGTTTTTGAACCTGAAACAGTTCTTGCAGGACAATAAGATGTAATTTGCAGACTTTGAAATTAATCATGCTGGCAAAAGTGATACTTTCAGTACAAAATCATATTTATTTGTGTGGTACGTTTCGCTATATGTATATAATCATATATTATTGGCTAATCAGATTACAACTACCATTTCAATTTGGCTTTAACATAAACTAAAGTTGAGTTTCTTTGTAACGCAAAAATATAGTAAATGCAAGAGCAAAGCTTACAGTACGTATTAAGTAGGTGCGGAAAAGTAGATAGGTGGATAACAATAAATATTAATCGTTGTACGTAGTTTAAACGGAATCGTTGGAGTCTTAGGAATTATTAATTTTTGGAATATTAAGTTGAGACTCTCGGTTGGGTAATATCGGAGAGGATAAGAAAGAATGTGGAGAAAACACTAAATACAGACATTGATGAATGCTAGCAAAGGAATAACAGTTCAAGTTTCCTGTCGGCTCGACAATACATAAATTAAAGCTAAGTACGTGTGGATATTACTAGCGCATATTCAATGTTTCTTTTTTTCGGTTTGGGGGAATCGTTATTGGCATATGCGTTTTACAAACCAAGGAGGAAAACATTCAACTACAAAAACGAAAAGTTACGAATCAACTAAAATTAGAGGCGCGTGTTCTCCACGCTCAGCGCATCATCGTCATCGTCATCCGCTACCACCGGGATGTCCATCATGTGCCTGCTGCCGCCTCCGTTTTGCACGATATACACCCCCTGGCTGCTGGGAGTCTTCGGGTGCAGTGGCAGTTGCTGTCGGTGGAGCACCTCCAGTGCCTGATCCAGATCGTGGCTATCGCTGCTAAAGCTGTGCCGCATGTGCTGCAGCCCGTTGGGCAGAGCCGGATACGTCTGCAGGTGGCTGAGATTATGGATGCTCTGGCTGCGGGCGGGATCTTGCGCAGTGTCGAGCGTGGTTACCACGAATCCGTTGCTGTACAGCGAGTAGCTACTGTTCGCCGGCGAGGTGGCTAAGCTAGTGATACTCTCAAAGGTTTTCATTGAGTATCCGTCACCTAGGAACAGAATTACAGAAGCGATTGCGTATTAGGTCATGTCTGATTTCGGTTTATTTTTTTGCAGATCCGATTGCCAGGGAAGACGCTGAAGCGGTGGCTTGTGATCGAAACGGATATATATGTACACGCAGCGGACAATGTTAGACAATGGTTACAAAATGGATCATCCGATTACATGAACGTCGAGGGGCGTATTTAATAAGCATGAACTGGTTTTGTGGTTGCCTTGGTTATGGGCCTTTAAAAGCTATTATTTTACATATACAGTTAGAATTAGTGCCCATTGGATCCGTTACAGCTAAGGGGTACCTCTAAAACTGGGTTTCCATCCAGAACCACTAACAATCAACTCATTTGTTCCAACAATGACATTACGCCGATAAGAGTTCTTTTCTCTCTCGCCTCTTTCAACGTGCATAAGGTCAATATTAGCATATTAATCAATTAGTTTATTGCTTCGGCCGGCAAGATGATGACGCACTTAGGCTGGATTGTTAACGACCGGCGATGACCCGCTGAAAGTGGCTACGATCTTAACGTTAACTCAAACGGAAGACTATACAGTGCTACTCAATTAACAGAATACATATGCCATATCGTTTTCTATATCTAAACAGGACTTTGTACATAGGGTTACATATAAGGCAACACCAACTTAAGTTCGTTTTGGGGAACTGTTCGTGTTTCTGTTTACATTTACACAATATATACACGCAATTTGTGATAAACTTGCACCACACAATACAAAATAAAAAGGAAATATTCAATAAATATTGCAGATTATAGTTACAGTCGGGGGTAAGTGGGTTGTTTAAAGCAAGCGTTAGTATTAGTAGATATACAGTGTTAGGACTTGTGTGTAGCTCATGACTCACCTGTGGCGCACTCTGAAGTCTCGTAGGACACTGTGGATTGAACTTCAATCGCGTTTTGTTCTTGTCTGCAAGCCAAATTAATAATATCTTTGAGAATTGCTGATCAAATTGTCGATATCATACCTTGATATCACATCTGTTATGACTTGCTTCTCGGCGTCTGTGTAATCGTTGCGTCTGCGCCCGATCTTCTTCTCCATGTCCGCCTCCACGAACTCGCCCAGTTTGCGGGTGGGGAACTCATTCGACTTTGCTGGCGGCGGCACGTCCAGCTTGAGGTCCTTGAGCTTCTTCATTACACGTTCCAGGGCCTGAATGGCGTCATCGTCGTTGTAGCCAAAGTTCTTGTGCAGCTTCACTTGCAAATACTCAATGATGGCGTCCATGTCCTTCAGGCGCAGCAACTCGTCCTTGTGAAGGTACAAAATGGTGATGGCCATGGACAGAATAACGCGATCTCCGTCCAACATAAAAATGTCCCACACGCGTAAACTCAAACTGAAGGGAACCTGAAAAACAGACAAATGTTCTAACATTTGTTTTACAAATACATCGTGAATTCACTCACTCGCTCCACAAAGACGACAAAGAACCACTTAATTGCGTACAGCAGGGCGTCAACGTTGTGTTTGGTAAAGTGTTTGTGTAGCTTGCGCATTATCTTCGACATGATGCGGTCATGATGGTCTATGAATCGCGTCAGCTTGGGGAAGCCCTCAATAAACAGACCGTGCATGCCGTATTTTTGGTCGGTGATAAGGCTATTTAGTGCCCAGAAGGCCTCTTCCTCGTTCAAATAGAGCAGGAGCACGCCGGCCACACAGGCCATGCCCTGACAGTAGCCCAGCTCTGAGTTGTAGATGCTGTAGGCGTTGAGCACGTTGAAAAGCGAACACTGCTTGACGCTGTAGCGCTCGCGAAAGGCAAGATTGTCGCGAAACTGGCGATTCACATCCGCATCGATCTGACGCGTTTCTGTGGAGTACTTCCTGGCAAGCTGCAGCATTCGTGGATAGACACCGGCATTGGTATCGATCGAATGTTGGACATTGAGCAGCTTGTTCCAGGCCAACATGCGCACACGATCCGGTATGCCCTTGTAGACGCGCTTATGCAGTTTATCCTGAGGTGGTGGCCACTGGTTAAGCATCTTCATCCACTTCTTGTCTCGCTCCAGTTCGATCTTGGTGCGATGCACCTCCTGGGCATCCCGCGTCGTCGGCAGGCGGGAATCGTGCATGAAGCCATATCTACGGATAGAATGTAACTTAGTTTGTGTTGCAATCGAGGGCTTTCGCTAACTCACTTGTCGGTTCTGTGGTAGATTTCGAAGGTGGGATTCTCCCAGGAGTCCACCACATTGCTGGGGTCCAGGCCCAGGTCGTAACGCCGGAAGATGTCCTCGCGTTCGTCCTCGGCCCGTTTGACCAACGCCTCCTGCTGCTCGCCGTCCGTCATATGGAGGCCGAATTTGGCGCGGGGCAGGAGAAGGAATCCGGATCAGGAGCGAATCCGGATGAGCAAGTGGCCGGTGGTGGACTCTCCGTGCTCTCAATTGGGGAGCGGCTGCTTCTGAGCTGGCTGGGCGATAGTGCGAAACTTTGATAAAAAGAAAACAAAAGCATTTACATACGAAAGCGATTCACAACAACATACTATATATACTATATAACTAATGAGAGGATGACGCACACTAACAAAATCACAATAACTGCAGAAGATTGAAATTGGTTTCTGTTTTTGAAGGAGCGTAGCACAAATGACGTGATGTTTAAATAAATATTCAGTTCATTTGTGAGCGCAGCATCAAAACATAAAGCCAATAAATATGACACCTTTTTAGTGAAACGCCCACAGATCTGCGGTTAGTGTGAGGGGGGCTACAGATATAGAGGTTCGTTCCCGGCCCCTGACTTTTAGTCGCCTATTTCGATGCGGAATGTGCAATCTTTATGTTTTATCGTTCACACACTTCCTGTTTTTTGCTGCGATTTGTTGTATTTTGTCAACACAGACACGCACACAAACGCAGACACACACACACACTGTCATTCGAGAGAGTGTTCTAGCTTTCACTGGCAAATCTCTCCGTCTAATTGGCCGTGCTAAATGATGTTTTGTTTACCATTTAATTTTGAATTGCTATTTTCTTATTATCCGCACTGATCAGTTGTTTTGCTAATTTGTTTTTCACTATTTTAACGCTGCATGTTTCCGATACATTTCGGGTGGCTAGTGTGTGTGGAGGGTCAGAGTTGCCAAACTAACGCAAAGCCTTTCCGTAACGTAACAAAAAATCTCAGTTACGTAGTAAACGCAAGTCCTACGTATTCCACAAAAACGCCGGTTATAATTATTTCTCTGTAGGTCTAAATACCTTTTCTTTTTAATTAAAATTTTTCTTACAGATCTTTATTTGCTCTTAACTAAGTATATTAATAAATACTAACTGATCTTCATATCGCATGAAACTGTTAGTTATTGAATATTAAAATGTAAACAAATCAAAAATGATTAATTGATTAGATACCTTTAGAGTACTGCAGTTAAATTTCAAATTAAAAAGTTGATAAGTAAAAGTGGTCAGCAAATTAACGAAAAATTGGAATCAAATTGTAAGGCAAAGTGTTGGTCGACGTTCCTTTCATTTAAAAACAATGGTTGTCAGTTGCTTGAATCGATATAAAGCGATTATCGTCATCTCAGAAATATCTGGAATATTTAGTGAATACAACAAACTTTGTAGAGCATCTGGTAACACTGCCGCCCACAAGTGCCAGTCGAGAAAAAAAAAATTGGTGGTAATTTTTGCTCGTAAAATTCATCTGCTCCTAAACGGTTTTTCGCGTGTGCCAGCGTAGCAATTGCTTTCAAAACTGCTAAACTTTTTGGTCAACGGTGAAGCGCTTCTTAAAACGATGCCAATGCAATAGTTTCATTTATCAAAACGGGTACGAATTGAGCTCAAAACTGGAGTTTTAAAGTGCGTAGCACAAATTTTCGAAGTAATTTCACGGAAGGGGGAAATAAAACCAGCAAAGCGACGCTATATACATATATGTACATATATGTGTATGTGATATATTAATGATCTGTTTGGTGTTTTTGTGTGTATGATTTTTGCAGCAACTCAAAGGCGCTGCTGCAAACGAATTCTGTCCATTAAGAACCAAAGGGCCATTGGGAAAAAATGGTGTCCACCCGCCAAATGTGCAGTGGTGGCGGTACGAGCGCTTCGGATGGGGTTTCCCCTTTTGGAGGATCAGGTTCGGGTTCGGGATCAGGATCTGGACCTGGAGTCCAGGAGCCGCCCGAGTCCACAGCGGCTCGAACCTCCGTCCTGCGGCGAACCAACAGCTATCAAGGTAACCAGGGGCAGGTTAATGGACCTGGTCAGGTGACCTCACCGGCCAGCCTGGCCTTCTCCGCCAGCGTGGTGACCCGCCACCATTCGTACACCATCCAAACGCAACGGCAACGGCCACCGAGCAACTCACTTTTCGATCTGCCCAACGAACTGATTGAGAAGATCCTCAGCTACTTGGACTTTAAGAAAATTTCAAATCTCAGATTGGTAAGTGCACTGCCCTGACCGCCTCCTCTAATTTAGTAGCGCCAAACAAAAACAAGAAATCGTCGGCTATTAAATCAATAAAAAGCAATTTCCCAAGTGCAAGCGTGGTACGGGTTGGGTTATTATCAAACGAACCAACCCAACAAAGTACCTGCACTTGTATGCCTGTTCTGATATTCTGCTGTTATGTGTATTATATATGTTTTCGCCATGCGTGGTGCTTCACTCGACGGATTTCGGATTTCCCTTGGCAGGAGGGCAATTAAAACTTTGTCACGAGGGCACATGCACTTGCAATTGTTTATATTTAGCACCGCACTCGGCATCTTGACTTTTGTTGGCGGGAATGTAAGCAAAAAAAAAAAGGAACTCTTAAGCAGGTTCATATCGAAATGTTCTTTATTTTGGTTTTAAAGTGATTACTTTAAAACGAAATATTTCATATTAAACTATAGTTATAAATATAGGTTATATGCATACTTTTGAATGACCTTTTTCATTTCCATTTTTTGAGGGTAACTACACTTCGGTGTTTCTGTCTCGTTGGCATTTTTGCCTGCGCCCGCTTGTCTCCCTCCTGCAATTCGGTGTGTATGTATGCATGGTTATTTGTCGTAGGTAGCGACAAATGTAATCTGATATAATTTAATAACAGGCAGAACCACTGGTTGGTGGATGGATGCGGGCGCAGCAGCCAAAAACGGCATCGAAATCTTAGCTTAGTCAGAAGCCCCGAAAAATGTTCATTCCAATACACCATGCTAATTTAAGTTCCTGAATATTGGCAGGTGTCGCACCGTATGAACGACATCTGTATGGCCATGCTGAACTCAGCCTTCACCAAACAGATCAAGACCACGCACAGCCGCTTCCAGGCGATCAAGGCCAGCATGCCGCGACGGGAGTCCGCCCGCCGAAATCATGCGCTGGCCTGCGAGTGCGACATCATCGAGACGTGCTACATGCGTCTCTCCCTTCTCCAGATGTCCATGGGCAAGCACATCGAGCGTGGACACTGCTGTTTCTTTCCGGGCGCCGTAAGTCCAGTCGATTGAGTTCTGAACAAGGAGTAACCCATATGGATCATATTTCTAGATACTGGACGAGGTGCAGGCGATTCTCAACTATATCAGTATTACGCCCAGGCTGCAGCGACCTTATCGGGTGACCGACGAGCTCTTCGATCTCTCCACAATGGCCATGGAGTACTTCAAGGACCGGATCGAGCCCACGCTACCGGGACTCGCATACTTTAACAAGGACTTCTATACGCTGCCCACCACCACAAAACGTCGTAAGGCTGAAATTTCTTCTAACATGGAACTAATTTTACTAATCCATAATCCCCCTTTCCAGCCGCTCTTGCCATCAGTTCAGATCTCGAGGACAGTGCCAGCAACTCGCCGCCGCAGAACCACATGGTGCTCCGCAAGGGCATCCGCAAGATCAAGCAGGGCATGAAGATGTACAACAACCAGCTTACGGTGCTGCGCACCGAGCTTCGCACCTGCAAGCGCAAGGCCGCCGAGCAGAGCAAGCAGCTGGCCGAGCAGCAGAATCTCCTGGCGGAGCAGCAGAAGCAGACGCTGGAGTATGCCAACCGGCTGGACGAGAACGACAAAAAGAACGAGGAGATGTCTCGCAAGTTCTCCACCCTGTTGCAGGTTAGTCGATGTTATACCAATTAAGCACAAGTGCCTTATTGTTTTGGTTTTTCTTTGCTAGGAGCTCAACAAGTGCAAGACGGAACTTCAGTTCTGGCGGTCTAAGAGTCCGGCCATTCCTGCTGTTTGCAGTTCATGCAATCAGAAGGTGGCACCCGTCGTGCCGCCCGAGGATTTTCAAGTGCTGGTCAACCAGGGCGTGGATCCCGAGCACTTTATCATTATCAACGATGACGCGGATGCCGAGAGTGATGTGAGCGTAGGCGAGCTGAAGGAATTCGCCTCGCCGGACGAGTCTACCACGGCCAAGCTGCTGGCCGTGAGCTCGGCAACAAAGAATCTGAAGCGCAAGCAGCCGTCGGAGAGCCAGTCGAGTGCCATAGCGTCCACGTCCAAGGCGGCAGAAGTTGTCCAGCAGGAGGCAGGAGGAGCTGCCAAGCCGGCGGGCGGCTACTCCCCAAAGCTCTTCTATGGCAATCATCAGCGGAGCGGCGTGATTGTCAGTCCAGTGTCCAAGAGTCTGGCGGCAGCCCAGCCGGCGAACAATGTGGCGTCCGGATCGGAGGCTCTCGAGGAGCCCGAGGAGGCGAAGAAAGCACGTAGAGTACAAAAGGCCAACAGATATGTAAATACGCCCGGCAAACGCAGTAAATAAGCATTAGGACATACGCATATACACTTTACATATTTTTTACCACTTATTTACATATAAAAGTGTGCATGCCCCTGCTCTCCTAACCACCAGGATGTGGGCCAGGGATCGGGGCATGCGCCGTAGAGTTAACGGAGGAATCAAATTAAATATATACACATATATCTATTAATGTCAAATGCATTAGGCATTTCGAATATTAATCATTATTATTATTATTATTATCGAGTACAACAAACGTGTCCGTATGTTCTTCGGTTTTAACGCCCCGCAAAAACAATTCAAGTTAACCACCACACAACACGAACACACTCACGAATCCCGTAGTTATTGGCAGAGCAAAACAGATAATAATAATTTAAAGCAAATTAATTTTAAATAAGGAAAAAAACAAACAAAAAAAGCAAAGAAATATTTTAAATAAAACTTTAAAAACATTCAACTATCGCTGGTTTGGGCAGATGTGGATATAAGGCCAAATATTTTTGTATTTAGGCTTACGATTTAAAATAGAAATCTTTCAATTTTATTTTATGTATTGAAGATACATATTGAAAATCTTGGGAATCAGAAGAAAATGCATTTGCTTAACGATTAAAGACACAAATTTTATTTACAAGGTCAACAATTAAAGAATGTTAAAGCTTTTGTGAGCGGTCCTTGCCAGCCAATGGCTTATTGCGCTCATCCCAAAGGGTGACACCATCGCAGGCGCAGATCCTCTTGAAGTTCTCCAAGATTCCCGCCGAACGTGCAATAATTCCGCATGCAATTCTGCGGGGAAACAAGTTATTATAAATATGAATGAAGAAATAGATAGTCAATAACTTACCTTTCTCCGGAGTTTCCATCGACCAGACTTTGTTCGTTGCCACCGCGTCCAAGGTCATCGGGATTGGCGGTTAGGACGACAGCTCTACCGATGATGTCCCAAACCTCCAGCACTGGATCCACAAACCTGAAGGTGGCCCTGCCACTCTCATCAGCTCTTATGTTGCCCAAATCCCCGGCATGTCGTTCCGCTGCCGCAGCTGCAGGGCTTCCGTGGGGCGACTGGCGAGGATTGTAGTGGTCTCCAACCGAAGAGCAACCGGAGGAGGTGTCTCCACTCTCGTGGATGTGAAATCCGTGTAGACCCGGCGTCAATCCGTCCACCACACCATCCACTACCACGCCGGGCTCCTTCGGCGTTATGGTGGTAAATCGGACGACTCCTTGGATGGGCGTTCGATCCACCACACTGCCCGTCGTGTTGATGAGTGCCACCGCAGACTGGCCGCCGAATCCGGAAAGCACCGCCTTCCGACCGGTGGCTTCTATCTTATCGTGTATCTCCGACCAAGGTCGTTGCGTCTGGACGATCACACGGCCTTCTTGTGTGTCGATTTCCACCTGGCCAACGCCATCCAGCGCGGAACGGAGAACTCCGGCGTAGGACTCGTCGCCCTTGCGCATTTGAACTGCGAATTCAATCTGAACTTTGACATGGAAGCATGTGTTCTGATCTATTCGATAGGTACTTACCTTGATGGAGCTCATTTTCGGTCAAATCAGAGTGCCGAATAACAATGATAAACAAACTTTGGCCCTTTCGGGCTTTTTAGTGTGGCCGGACGACGCAAGTTAAATTAAACCAAAATAACAATGCAAAAATAGTAGGGGAACTCCCGCTACACGATTTAATATTAATAAATATGTAGTTATAGTTTACAATATTAAAAAGCCCTTTAGAGTTTTTAAAAAATGGTTATAGTTTACAATATTAAAAAACCTTTAGAGTTTTTAAAAAACGGTGTGCCAAGTGATTTTTCAGATATATTGAAAAATATGTACAAAACAAAAGGATTATAAGAGATAAAGATGTTATTGGATGATAAAGTCATGCTTAACTTAAGCCTAAGTTAGTTTTGTTTTTGTTTTTCCAAAAGACCTGAGTTGATCAGAAATTGGTATAAAATGCGAACTCTCTGTTTTGAGCGGCTGATTTAAAATGTTAACCCCGAACTAGCTAGTTGTTAATTATTTTAATTTTTGTGCTAATTTTCAGACCTGTAGCTTCATTCACTTCTTATTACGCTGTATAATTTTATATCAACTTTTTCTTTATGGCCGCCGACGGTTTTAATCAATGACCATAAAGAGTATTTTTAAGACAAATCCTGCTAATTTGTGCAAATTAACAGCGCTAATTAAGGTAACCAAAATTGTAAGCGGCAGATGCTGCTTTAGTTGTGGTTCCGAAAAAACGTGCAACCAATTTTGAAAAAGCGTTTCCATGCGCGCCATTTCATTGCAGCAAATTGCGTCTTTGACTTTCATTGTGCAAAATAAATTAATTTCACTTGGGACCCCGTTATTGATGGCAATTTAAAAACAATTGAGAAATATTTAATACTGCCTTCAATTGAAGAACTGTAAAAGGAAGCACTACAACAGGGAATAATTTTAATGCCGTCTTTAGTCAATTCCCAAAAAAATTCGGCAATTTGGCACATGGCTTTGGTCAATTAAGATCTTAATTAGCACGATGTTAGGGGATTGAGATGAATGAAAACGGTAGACAACAATTAGTTGGCATTAGAGAACCGTTACTAGTCCTAAAGATTTTTTTAAAAATTAGACAATCCAAGTTGGTATTAAAATTATTAAAACTTAATGTCATTCCAAATTAAAACAGAGATTTCTATATGAGTGTATTAAAAATTAAAAGATTTAATTTAACGAAGCGGAACAATCAGCTTGTTCCGGTTTTTTTCGTTTTTTTTTCATACTTGTTTTTACAAATCGATCGAAAATTAAATAATTTGGTTTTCCCAGGACAGCGAATTCGAAAGACCGCTGCAAAAGAAAGGGCCAAAAGCCGGGCACGCATCTTTGTTGGCCATGGTGGGCATATTGCCAGCTTTGATCGTCAGCAAGATTCTAAAGAGTATTTAGCGCCCACACACAAAAATTAAGCAGGTGCGCTCTGCAGCTACTCTCTTTAGTAGCTGCTCTTTGGGGCAGCGACTAAAGGCAACAGCTGTTCTTGTTGATAATTTGGATTTATGTAGATTCTTTGTTGCCTGTTCGGAAAACAACAATTGCAAGTCAGCATAAAACAAAAATTGGAGAGTTAGAAGATCGGATATTGGAAGCCAATCGCTTGGCAGCGAGAAGAAGGAAGGGATATATTTTGAGGTCTATTGGAAAGTGCGTGCCGTGGCAAATTAGCCTTGCCTTTGTTTTTATTGCATTCCACTAGGCACACACACGAATGGGGGCCAGTATGCATTGGTATGTGTGTGTAAGAGCGCCATGGGCCGTTGCTCTTTTGGAGCCGTGCGAGCGAAAGCGAGTGAGCGGGAGCGGAGAAAGAGCTAGAGAGATATAACTGCTAGTGTGTTTTAATATTAGCGTTGTGACGTGCTCTCACCAAATCAGTATTTTTTGTACCATCGGCGCGTTAAAACACATGTTCAGCGACTTTATGCGGGAGTGTAAACTAATCTGAAAGAGCAACTACAACGACCACAACATATACAGCACCAGCAACAACAACATCAGCATCATCAGCAGAAAATTTTAACACGTTGACGGTTTTCAAAGTGTTTATCGCGAGCGGAAAAGCTTAATTAGCGCGTACTAGCGAGACCACGAAATCGCATTTTTTCTTCTTTGGTCTTTGCGTCTTTGAGTGTGCGTGCCAAAATTTAAATACGTCATCGACGCGCGCAGCCTTAAAAGTTACAGAAAAAACCATACCATACACAGTCACACACACAGATACCAGCGAAAGATTAAATTCAATTGCAGGAGCAACAAAAGCTAAACAAATTGTGAAAAAGTTCGACACACAGCGAACAGCAACAACAACAAGACGACAACTTGAATTAATTAATTTGTTATTGTGTAGCATTCTTCTTAGCCTTTTTTGCCATTCGCTACGAAACGCAGCCACACAATAGAACGTGCAAAACAGCTGAGAGAGTAACGGAACGTCAAAAGCAACAAGTGCAGCAGCAGCAATAACAACACAAAGCCCTTCCAATTGAAAGAGAGGGAAAGAGAGAGCTGGAAAGTGCATGTGTATGGGGGTACTCCAATAAACACAAATGCAAAGACCATCATACTGTTGTTGTTACAATCAATTAGAGTGATAGCAGCGGCAGAGGAAAAAGCAGCGCAGCAGCAGCATCCGCATCAATTTGCTAGCATCTCAGCATCTTCGGCTTAATTCCGAAAAGTGTGACTGTGAGCGTGGTTGCTCCCGTTCCGCCTTCGTAATCGCAACAACTACACTTGTTGTTATTGTCGCGCTCGTCCGCGATCCGCAATCTTTACTTGTATTGGTCGTCTTGATTGGAACGAATCTTCTTGTATTTCGGTTTTTTTCGTGTTTTTTTTCTTTTTATTCCGAAACCCGAGTGTATCTGTAGTTTCCCGCTAACGGCGAAAATTCACACAACTCATTGATATTTTAACCTCGTGTCCGCGTTGGCTGCTGCTCGACCAAGGTTCTGCCGCACAAAATGCTCGTCTCTTTGGGCTTTTCGAAGCCTGGCTTCGTCGGACTAAAAGTGCTCCTCTAGCACGGTATCACAAGTCCGGCCATCTAAAGAAAAAAGCAACCCAAAACTATCAAAAACCATTTGAATTGGCAGCCAAAAAGTTATCACCAAACCAACCAACCAACAACCAACGTTATCGTTATCGCAAAACAGAATCCACAGATAAAAAACGTACCGTTTTGTTTCGTCGTAAATACAGTGCTAAATCGTGTGAAACAAACAACAACCATATAAATTGCTAAAAACTCCCTAATTCACCTAATGAAAGACGAGAGCATTTTTGTGAATAATTAGCTGTCAAAAAAAACCTGTTCGCCGCCGCAAAAATTAGGCCCCCAATAAAAAAAAAGTGACGATCCAAGAAACAGGCATCTCGCCCGCTTGATATATAACACCCCAACACAAACGTAAATCGCGATAACACCCATACTAAACAACAAAAAAAAGAGCGAAAATCCAGCGAATCAACTTCACAGTATCGTCGCAAAGTCAGTGCTAGCCAGAGCTAAAACGTCGAGCAAACCGAGTAGTTGTGTCTAAAACCGTTGGTCCCCCAATCGTTAAATCGCAAAAACCCAAAACAACAACAAAATCGCTATCAGTGATCAGTATCCAGAAACAGTAAATGCGGAATAATGCCAGCCTTCTGACAGTGTCTAAAATAAAGGAAAGGAAACCCCAAGGTTACATAATACCATTTTCGGAAGCGAAACACCACAAGTGCCCACAGCTTTAACTGCTAATTGGAATGTCGCATATCTGACAGTGACTAAACAGACACCGAAAAATCAACCCCCCCAAAAATAAGTCCAAGCTGAACTCAAAAAGAGAACTTCAAAAGCGTCGTGAGGAAATCGCCCAGAAAACAGCGTCTACAAAGCCTGTTATCAGTGACATATTTAAATACATATATACATTCGATTCCAGCGTAAACAACTGCTATATAATGTCCGTCGCCATCTGACAGTGGTCAAAAACAACCAGCGTCGTAAACATACAAGTTTCACAATTGTCAGTGAAACCTGTATACCGCATAAAGAGCCAACAAAAATCCTTTGAACTTACAACCGGGTTAACCGTTTCAGCGATAAATGGAGAAATCTGAAATACGACTGCACCGCATGTCAAATGAATATCAGTCGCAATCGAGCTATATGTATCTCCGGACCAAGATGCTGTTAAAAATTGAAAACACCCTACTTCGAAGCCATCGTCAGCGCGAGACCACCGGTATCAAGAAACTATACAATTCGTTTTTCGTATTGTTTTAATTTGCCCCGCCCGGCCACGCCCCCTTAAACCCTTCAAAAAGGCCCCTTAAGAAGAACACAATTACGCACAACGCAACAATTCCAATTCCACTCAATTGTGAGCCAAGTTAGAAAGAAAAGTTACAAAAAGAGAGAAAAGCAAGTTATACATGTTTTACCTATATTATAAAGTTTATGAATAAACTAGAGATATTATTTGGTTGTTAGTAGAACTCACGTCAAGTGCATATTGTTAACCCTCGTATATCCAAGTGCTGTGCGACGAACGATTTAGTAAGTGTGTCATATGAGCATTTTGAAAACGCCAAAATGTTAACCTAAGCAAGTAAGCAGTAAGTGTTACGGTCGATCAATAAACAGTTTCTACTTCGAATATTACTATTACCATCAATCAATTACTTTTGTTGCATTTCGCGTTGCACCAAAAAACTTGAGCAAAATTGCTGGCGAAAGGACTCCGGTCGGAAGCGGTATTTCATATTTCGGAGGATATCAATTCAATAAAAAACAAATCAGGCGGGTATTTAAACAAAGAAAAGGACTACACAGAGAAAAACAGAACGCGATTTCAACGCCGTTAATTCACGTACCGAATGGCGCTTTCTTTTCTATCGCAAAACTCCGGACTGTTGGATTTACAAAGCATATTTGATCCACAATACACTCATCTTCAACAACAACAACAACAACAACATTTGAGCCACCACCCTCAACATCACATTCAACCACACCATCAACAACAACAACAACAAGTGGAGCAGATTCAACAACACAATCAACAACGCACCCTTTCAACAAAGTTCGATTTGAACTTGTTCAACGAACTCGATCAAATGGAATTCAACAACAATTTAAATCGCAATCAATATCAGAATAATAATAATATTAATAACGGCGCCAATAATCAGAACATCAACAACAACACCAACACTAATAACAGTGTAAGCGAAAACCTAAATCAGGTAAGTTTAAAGGTCCCCAACGATAGGTATTCCGAATCCAAATACAACCTTAGGGAATAGGAAAAACCCCATAGTTGTTACAATGCAAACATCTATATATACTATATAGTATACTTTTTGAATAGAAGATTTTAAACGTAATGTAGTTACATGGAATGCAGTAGAATATTAATTTTAAATTATACTTTTTTTGCATTATGTTGCACAGTGGTTTATATTTTTGAAGAAAACATTTCAAGATGCACCAGCTAAATCTGTTTGCCTTGAGACAATTGCAAATATATAGTTCAATTGCTAATTATACTATATAGAAGGGGTGTATCGTATAACAAAGTTGTGGTGGGCAGCTAGGGGAAAAGCAATAGAATAACGCTTAAAAATACATAGTTGCAAATGTTACGTCAACAGTCCGACTCACTGGCCCAGTCGATATTTGTTTTTTTTTCTCCTTATTTTTGGACGTTCGTTTAAATATAGCCGCATATTCTGGGTCTTCTTTGCCCAGCTCTTCAAGCTGAGCTCTTTTCCGTTTGTTTACACACATCGAGCGTGTTCACAATTATCTTTCGAAAGCATTATTTAGTGGGAAGTCCAAGTCCTCCTCATCGTCGAATAAACATGAATCGAAGGGTGTTTTTTTTTTTTTGTTTTCACCCACTCTCTCTCGTTTGAGGGAAAAAGAGGGATTAGGAGAGCAATGGCGAGATTGTTAGCGACCTTATCAGCAAGGTTCGGACCTACATGAGTATATAATATTCCAGCTGGAATCCAGAGATAATACTGAGAGGGCATAGCCTCGTTGGCGGCTAGACACGCGTTGTTGCTGGTTCTCCGAGTTTTGATTCGGGCTCTATATTTGATTACGTTGCTTCGAAATTCAGTTCTCGAACTAAAACCCGCGTCCATTTTTCGGTATTTCAGATCCAAAACCGCCACTTCATCAGCGGCTACCATCATCAGCATATTGGTTCGGATTATGAGCAAGTGATCAACTTTGTTGACTCGCCGCCAAACTCTGAGGAATCGTGGACAGGTAAGGCAGAAGCTGCAATCGGTTCACCAGCACATCTCATCTCTATCACGATCATCAATCATCACCTTGGACATCCATTGCTCCCGTAGAGACCAGCTCGCTAATCGAACAAATTACGATTGTCGTAGACGGCCAATCGAAGGACTCGCCGGGACCGCAGATCATCGACGTGCAAACGATTTACCTGAACGGCGGCTCACGCAAAAGACGAATGGATTGGGACTCTTTGGACATTGGCCAAAGTGAGAACTCACCCACAGGATCGCAGAGTGGCGATCTGCCCACCAAAGTGGCCCACCAGGAGAAGGATAAGCACAAGCGCGAGAAGCACTCGGGTAAGAAGTCAATTTGTCTATCAATCACCAACAAACCAACAAACTTTAAACGCCTCAAAAGCTGTGAAGGGGTCTCAAGTACAATGCTTATCAGTTCTCTACACTGGTTTTTGTTAAATCGGAATTGATTTATTTGAATTTATTTAAATGTCAATGTATTTGTGTAAAACACAAACTTACTCAGTCTAACCAAGTTAAATTGTAGACTTTAACAGGCAGCAAAATCTTTAAGACAGGCCTTATCAGTTTGGTATTCGCTTTTCAAAATCAGAATTAAGCAATTTTTACATATATTATATGTGTCATGAGTTATCGCAAACTTTGTACTTAAAATTAGTACACAAACTTAACAAAATATTTCCATGCAGATAATACATTAGGAAGACTAGGAATTCCCCTAAACAATTGTTTTAATGACTAATCCTCAAATAAAAATCAAAATAAGAAGTGTGTCAGAAAAACAATTTCAAATTTAAAAGTTAAAATTAATCAAAACACAGTCATTATGATAAACGCCCCGTTGTAGCTTTTCATTGAATTAGCTTTGCTGCTTTGCATAAAATGTGACCTACAATCAATGAAAGCAAGAATGAAAGAAACCTCGGTCCAACTTGATGTTTCTTCCTGGGATTGCAACTGGAATCTGGGAGCGAGTCAGAAACTTGTTGGCAAATTAAAAGCGGCTGTAATTGAGAAACCCGTTTTCCAGTTGCGCCTCTAAGAACATACGAATACGAATACGAATACGAATACGAATATGAGTATATATTTTTATGCCCAGACAGATGTACCCGATCTAACGACTAATTCGATCGCTGGTTGGTAAGACAAACGTGAGTCTTTCTGCTGTTGGGTGCTAAGTGGCGTATAAACAGAGGAATATGATCGCTAATTAGTCTGTATCTGTATCTATCAGACATGGAAGTTATACGACATGTGCGTGAGATGACAATTAAGGGTTTGGGTTCGTCTTGGGGTTACACTCAACGTGTTTGAAGATGGGGGTTTGGTGCAACTAAGGCTGCACTCCGAAATGACGAAGTCTTTAAATAGTTTCATAAATTCATTAACATGCGATGGCTTTTAATATCCACGTTTGGTATTCGTAATGAAATTAACAGCCTGCGACGGTTAAACCTCGCCATAAAACTAATTAATTTAGTTAACACCTTCGCTTGTGTTAATCGATGGAGCTTTAATACTAGAACGCCTTTAAAGAAATAAATCTTCTCTCGGTACTTTTCCAATGGGCATCGAACAAGCCCCTGGCCGAGAAACCCTTTAGACTTTCAGTAGTAGATATGCCCCCGAGATTGCTCCAAAAATCACGCTAGGTCCCTGGACTAATTACCACGAAACGAGTGACTGGCTGAAACACTGATACCGACCCACTGCGGAACAAACAGATTTAGTCGAATGAAGGGGGGCAACCCAACCATATAATTTGGACACCAATCTAGAGCTCGGCCCTCTTGCTGATGGCTTATCAACGCGGCAGGCGGAGATAAGACCAAAAACGCTATAGCATTTTGCCGTACGTACAACAATCCGCTATTAGGCAAACCTTTTCAGAACTCCACGATTTTACGAGTAGAGCATTTAAATGCCGCCTAATAGCCTAATGGCCTTTGCCTTTGTCCCGGCCTTTTCCCACATTCGGTCTTTATATAAGCGAAGGCTATAAGATGATATTGAAGCCATTTCCCCGTGCCATTTGTCAAGGGAACTAACTGGGTAGCATCCATTATATTCGGTGCGCCTGTATGTCCACATTTACAGATAGTTTTGATCAAACAATTGCCTGTGACACTATCGCGAATGTGAAATGAGTGAACCGCGGCAATTCGATGTGCGTCATTCGCTCTTGGATAACTCGGAATCAATTGCGATCGAGATACATATTGTCCGGTGGAACCCACACAAGTAAAATTTCTATCCGTAGACAGATTAAATCAATTAACGAGCCATCACAAACGTTCGTTCATTAAACAACACATTCTTTTTTTTGAGAAATTCTGTAAAAACAATTGAATGTAATGGTGTGCCAAAATTTATTTTTTGGAGGTTCATTACATTCTCAATACATTTATTGACCTCATAATATAAGATCAGGGAATTTGTGTGCTTAAGTTCAGCAAGGTAATGGCGACTCCTTAATAAATAGTTTACTATAAAGAATGTAATAGTTGTAAAGAAATTAAAATCCTTTAAAGAATTAGAATTTGTTGGTTTTCAGATTCAATGTGCAGATCAATCAAAGAATATTTTTAAACTGCTTACTTGAAATGTTTAAACAGAATTCAAAGCAATACCTGAAAACAAATTTCGATTTAAGAATGACACAGTAAAATAAAAATTTGAATTCCATATTTACACATATTTACTATTATAATAGAAGCCCATATTTAATATAATTAGCTAAAGCCTTACCAAATTATAGTTACGTGTTTATCAATTAATTATAAAGTGGCCTTACATTGTCGCATGCTATAAATTCTTCACAGAATTTATTTTGGCTAAGACACAAGTTTGACGTCAACGGTTTGAGGTCGTCGATGGCTTTTTGAGAGCGTCACTATATGATAAGAAATAAGTTGTAATCTAAAAGAAATCGCAGACGTGCCAGAAATGAGTTGAACTACAGTTGTTACCATTCTTTAAATTCACAGGTCGCAGCAGCTGGAGCGATGATATTGGCTTCGATCTGAACGCCGAGTTCAACAGTAACTCGTACTTGAACAAGTAAGATAAGCCCCCTTATTTGTATTAAATTAAATCTTTGCTAATTAACCTTTTCCCATTGCAAACAGTGAGAACTTCCTGTCGTTTTCGCCCACGTTGACCACCTTGAAACAGGAACCTCAAACTGAGCAGATCAAGCCGAGTCCCAAGATTTCCCTTGAGAATGCCGCAGGATCGCCAGCAGTGGCCATTGCCAAGTTGGATGAGTCCCAGAACTCACCGGCGCAGGCCAAACTAGGAAAGGATTCGGCTAACGGATCGGGATCAGCTGGAAATGGCAAGCATGATGTGAACTCCGGACCCTTCTGCGGATGTGGCTCCCCGCAGGGTTCACCATTAGCCAGCAATGAGTACGAGTTGAACGAGAAGGGAAAGCCCCAGCAGCTAAGCGTTTTGGATCCGGCCAAGATCGAGATCGTTTCGGCCAATGGAGCCACCCATGCCGAGGATCACAAGTGAGTATAATGTGTTTTTAAGTAGCTCTTTAGCATGCTTCAGATAAATATAAAGTAGATCATTTATGAATATTAAAAAATTAAAGAAAGTTCCTTTCTAACTAGCTAAGAGCCTTACAATTTAGTGACATTCTTAATAATCCAATAATTTAAAATTCAATAAGAATCTTTTGGTTTCAAAAACCTATTTCTAATATAATATACTCTATAATATAGAATACTTTGACCTTGATTTATATATTTTGTATTACTGTTTTTAAATTAACCCTAAGATGGAGTCTTCTTAGTCTTCTTATTTTAGAAATGTATACTTGTTAATTAGTTTAGTGCCAACACATTTTACATTTAATTAGTAATACAAAAATCCATGAAAACAATGGATTATGAAAGTATTGGATACAGATTTCTGCTATGATTTATGTATATGTTTTATGATTTTCGTTTCAAACGTTGTAAACCTCCCCTCGCATTTTTCAGATTTCAGTACATTTTGGCAGCGGCCACTTCGATTGCCACGAAGAACAACGAGGAGACGCTGACGTACCTCAACCAGGGCCAGAGCTACGAGATCAAGCTGAAGAAGATCGGCGACCTGTCCCTCTACAGGGATAAGATATTGAAGGTGAGTCCAAAGTCCCTGTCCGCGGTCTCCAATTGAGGCGGACGGTCATGTGATGCTGGTGAATTATTCGATTGGCCAGTGAGCGACTTGGTCACCGAGTCTGTTTGACCGAATGTGTCTGTATATGTTGGGGGGCTCAATTGATTTTAATAAGCCCCAATTAAGCCGGTCGACTTGAGAGATGCTGGATGACAAACTGGAGAAGGCGAGCATGCGTTATCTGCGTGTGCGAAAAAAGAATAGAACAGAACTTTCCGAGTGACTTCACTTCTTGGCAATATTTACCATAACCACCTCCCCCCTCCTCTTCCACTTCTCTTGCAGAGCGTGATCAAGATCTGTTTCCACGAGCGCCGCCTGCAGTTTATGGAGCGCGAGCAGATGCAACAATGGCAGCAATCCCGCCCAGGCGAACGCATCATTGAGGTGGACGTACCGCTCTCGTACGGCCTGTGCCACGTGTCGCAGCCACTGAGCTCCGGTTCCCTCAACACCGTCGAGATCCTCTGGGATCCGCTGAAGGAGGTCGGCGTCTACATCAAGGTCAACTGCATTTCCACCGAATTTACTCCAAAGAAGCACGGCGGCGAGAAGGGTGTGCCCTTCCGACTACAGATTGAAACCTATATAGAAAACACGAACAGTGCCAACTCGAGCGGCTCGAGCGGTGGCAACAACAGTGGCAACGCCAGCGGCAGCGGTAGCACCAGCGGCAACAGCAACGGCAGCGGAAACGGTGGCTCCACTGCCCCGGGATCTCCAGAACGGACTCCCAATGGCGGCTCCAACAACAAACAGGCGGTCCACGCAGCTGCCTGCCAGATCAAGGTGAGTTTGGTGACGGATAGAAGCGAGTGCTCCCTTGGCCGGACAGTTTGTCCGTTTAAAACGATAAAGCCTTGCCTACATTTTTTAAAACAACATATTGTATACCTCACAAGAAAATTGATTTGCAATGTTATTTAATTTGTCTTGTAACAGTGATATGTGTCCGCTTAAAAGAGTACTTAAGTTGAATAAGTTGTCCGTTTACCATATTCTGGCCTAGTTTTGTTATGACATACTTCAACTTGAACTTAAATAAAGCGAATGGAATATTACTTAGCCGCAGTAGGTTTTTTTACCTTCCTAAGAAATATAGTATTATAAAGTTAATTTGCGTCAATAAAAGTATCCGAGAGGTCTATTCATATCTGTGGTTATTATGAACAGTGAAAATGTAGGTGAATCATTTTTATTCTTAGAGGTTTGTGATTTTTGTTGTTTTTTGAGTTCTATAATCTCCTGGGTGACTTGGAAAAAATTAGTAGGTGGGGCTGTTAAAACGTGTTTACAAGCAATACAACAAATTACTTCTAGAATTTGTAATTGTTTCCCTGAATCTCAAAGCACCTATTGTAAATCGAAATTTCTTACAGGTATTCAAGCTAAAGGGAGCTGATCGCAAGCATAAGCAGGATCGAGAGAAGATCCAGAAGCGTCCGCAATCGGAACAGGACAAGTTCCAGCCGAGCTACGAGTGCACCATCATGAACGATATTTCCCTGGATCTGGTGATGCCTGCCACCACAACTGGCTGCTACAGTCCCGAATAGTGAGTACAAACATAGATTCCATTCTCCAGATACATATATACATATGTATATAACATAGTGGGGGAGAGAGAATTTCTCCAACTGGCATAACTTCTGCTCTGGAATTAAGCAAAAAATTTATTTCGCTGCGCAGTCCCGCAATCTTTCAATTGAGTCCGCACAAATATTTTCCACAAGTCATATTTATGTGACAGCTACAGCCCGAGCCTTTTGATTTACGAACCCAGTGACTGCAGTTCTCAACAATTTACATAACATCCAGTTAAGATCAAGTGCATATTACGTATCTCGTAGATACTTGTTTCTTATCTACTCATACAGTGCGGTTCAGAGCCCTAATATAGGGACTTGTTTTGACCTAGTAAAAAATAGTTATGAGGTTGTTTAATTTAAAACATGCCAATAAAGTTTCACATTCCATTCAATCTTGGCATTCCAATGGTTAAGTAAAATTTATGTGATCACATATTTCACTAGGGAAAGTAGAAGATGGCATGCAATTAGTTCTTAATGCTCATCAATGCCAATTATATACATTTATAGATTTTTGTTTTCAAGTACTTATTTGTTGATTTATTTATGGAATCATTTAGAATGAAGGAGGTTTTAAAAAAATGAACTTTGAATAATGTAAATAAGACCGATACATGAGAAGGTTTTATAATTATAAGAGTCTTAATTTAAATTGGTTTAAATTGAAATTCTTTGGGTAAAAATTAAAAGCATACTGTTTACTTCTGGTTTTTAAACATAAACAAACAATTCAAAACGTTTTCTATTTTGTGGTATAATTAAAATTGTTTCTTGCTTAGAACCTAGAAGAATTTATGGAGAGAGAGCCAAAAATGTACCAAAAACAGATAATTTTTTTAAATAAGAATTGCATATAGAACAAGCCATTGACCTACAATTCCGAAACGCACTATCCAGTGGAATTTTCCCATAACGAATGCCAGAGGAAATCATTTAGTTTGTCATTTGCATGATCACCAAATCATAAAGATCAATCGAATTGCGAGCGTGTAGATATATGCAGAGAGAACCCCTTGGATCGGGAGAAAGAGACATATGGAGAGGGAAGAGATATCGAGAGATCGGTAGAGAGATCGGTGGAGAACCATTGAAGGATCTCTATAAGCTAAGAGATCCACTAAGAGCATTTTACGCCGTGGGGCTTTTTGTTTTTGCGTCTGCTCCAAGTTATTTTTAGTTTAAAGTTGCTTTTAACCGGTTTTCGGTTTTCGTTTCTGCTCAATGATTTTATTTGTTTGCAGGCCGAGCACTATAGATAATAATGGCAAATGATATGGGGGTTCATTGTATAAGGTCTTGTTTTGTACGGATCGATTATATCGATCGATTAGTGGCAGCAAAGCCAACCATCCTACGGCATTATAATCCATTCAGAAAACCGGAAATGATTACGGGGGAGGAGGCGACAACGGGCGGAAGACGAAAGTCTGGAAAATTTCGCCGATAGAAAAGAGGCAGCCATATAAAATAGATTCCAAACGGGTTTGCAATAGCCAATCAGCCGCAACAGGGCGTATCGGGTTAACTTGTGTGTAAACAAGGCGAGTGGCTCGCCAAACCAAAACCAGATTCTCCAGGCATGGGAAATTCGAAGTGCGAGTACCGCCATCGAGTCCCATCGCCTCGCATTCGTGAACATGCTCTTGCATCCGAAGGATCGTCGCTCCTGCCAACGTCAGATACAGAACGAGCTCTATTGGATTTGTAGGAACTTGAAAGAAAGCCTTCTTTTAAAGAATGAATTGATAGTAATCCTTTCTTCCTTTTTATCTTATCTTGCAGTATGAAACTTTGGCCAAATTCGCCTGTGCATATACCCAAGTACGATGGGATGCTTCCGTTTGCGGCAAGTGCAGCATCGCCGGCAACCAGCAGCAGTCCCATTGCCATCAACTCGGTGACGTCCACTAATTCGCCAACCCTCAAGCTGATGGACACCACCAACATGGTCTCACCGCAGCATGTGCCTGCCGATATGGATGATTATGTAGGTGTACCCTCTATCACCCAGCAGCATTATAGTTTCAATTGAATTATCAACCCTTCAATTCTCTGTTTTAGAACCAGAACATTATGCCGGAGTCGACGCCCTCGCAAGTGACACAGTGGCTGACCAATCATCGCCTCACATCGTATCTCTCGACGTTCGCACACTTCTCCGGAGCGGATATTATGCGGTATGTGATCTACTAGAACAATAAAGCCTTTCGGAACCACAGGGATCCCTTTATCATTTGCCAGCATAAATAAAAAGATAGTACACAAACATTTGTACTGCATGTACATACTATATGTACATTTTCATCTGTCAAAAAATATTTCAAGATATTTTAGTTTTGTCTATCTTACAAGATTTTGTATCATTAAGATAGTGACTAGCTTCCATCTTCTTCTAAATATAGATAAAAACTGTATTTTCAGGCATATAAACATCTTTATCTAAACTATACCTAAAAACTATCTTACCAATCAGCCACAGAATGTTTCTTTTCCTTAGCGACAAATTTTTTCGGAGTTCAAGTACCCAAAAATGTATATTATAAATCTACAGACACATTTGGCATTTAAAGATTAAATATAACTAGCAGAAAAGCCTAGTACTCTACTTATATAACTACAGACACAATAACTACAAATTTCTTCAGTTTTTATTTTTTGTCGGTTCTCAAAGATATTTTTTGGTTATCAGATTAAGTAATTCAACTGGTTTTCCAATCTGCTTTCAACTGACCCTATTTTTCAATTTCAAGTACCAACGAAGCTATTGTATTACCAAACAAGTTAAGAGATAACCAACCATTCCCTTATAAATTGCCTTATCAAACAAGTTACAGCGCGAAAGAGACATTTATTATAACTGAATTGTTGATCCAATTCCCAGACAATTTGTCAATAAAAACCCTTTGTCTGGCAAACTAAGAGTACTTCAATTTTGTTTTTGATTACCCTTTCAATTCGTTATCAATCTAAAACAATGTTTCAATCAGTTAAATTACTATTTGTGTAATCTTGTTGACTGACATCTGAAAGACAGCAAACCTTAAAGGATAACTTGATTCCACAATCAGTTGATAGCGACCATTTAACTTAACCATAAACTTATTAATAATCAAATGGCTTGATTAGATAAGTGGCCTACCGCATTAGAAAAACAGAATGGTTTCTGGTTATTACTGTGTGGGCTATAAAACCCCTTAAAGTCTTAACAATATATAAAATGCTATTATTAATTGGTTCCGCAACGCATTTATTTCATATTTTTCAGCTTCTGATTTATTTATAATATTTGATTTATTTATAGCATGTCCAAGGAGGATCTGATTCAAATTTGCGGCCTGGCCGATGGCATTCGCATGTTTAACATTTTGCGCGCCAAGTAAGTGTTTTAATTTATTAAAATATATTTATATATTTAAACTTAAATGAAATCTTTGTTACAGGACCATTGCTCCGCGTCTGACGTTGTACGCCAGTTTGGATGGCTGCAGCTACAATGCCATCTACTTGCTGTCGAACACGGCCAAGGAGCTGCAGCAGAAACTGTTCAAGATGCCGGGCTTCTACGAGTTCATGGCCAAGTCCGCCGCCCAGGAGAATGGAGCCGGTGGAGCTGCCGCCGCTGCGGCTGCCGCTTTGTTCAACAACTGGGGAATGCACTCGAAGTATTCGGGCAGTGGCTCCAATATTTTCAACGATGCCAACAAGAGCTGCGTGTACATATCGGGTCCCTCGGGCATTCTGGTCACCGTCACCGACGAGGTGCTCAACAACGAGATCAAGGATGGCAGCCTCTATGCTTTGGAGGTTCAGGCCGGCAAGGTTATCCTTAAGCTGATCAACAAGCAGGACAACAATTAGCCGATTAGCCAATTGTACAACTACGTAGTACCACTGTAGTAGACACACACCACCCGAGCAACCAAGTATAGTTTATAGCATTTAAACACACTGTTCGTTTTCTATATAAGCATCAATTTGTATGAGATTTCGCGCAGCAATTTTGAACAAGTAATAAGCAAGCAACCCGAAACCCTTTTTCCCTTTAACCTTCAAAAAAATTATCTAAACCCCATATCTTTGTTAAAGAACTAGTGCAAAATATTTAAGTTTTCGTTTTCGGTCCTCACTTTAAGTTTTGTTTATTTTATATGTATTTTATACCACCTACGATATACGACAACATAACATATGCACATTTAATTCTCCGATGCGATTGCATTTCGATTCGTTTCTTTTCTCTACTTTTAATTTCTTTTATTTCTATGGCGTATGCTAATCACTTATATAACGATTATATATTTGTTTGTAGAACCCAACCAATATCAATTATTTGAAGTAGAAAGAAAAAACCCAAAAAAAAAGCAACATAATTTTACAACAATGATTATTATTTTCAAGTACAGTACCACGAATACAAGAATTGAGCAATTGTTTCGAAGCAGAGTTCAACTAGCAACCAAACAACAACTTTTGTATGTGATAGAAGCAATAAAGTGTTATCCACAAGTGGACTGTCAAAAAAAAAACCCCTCTTGTGTATTCATTGGATGGTTTTTGATTACTAACATATTTGTAATTCACATATTTACTGAAAAAGATATTGCGGTATGTATTGGATGTAGAATAACTAATATTATATTGTATTGATATTTATAGTTTTTAAAAACAACCGTCAATATTTTTTAACGGAATACCCAAGTAAATCGATTATCGATATAAATTTTATTTACTTGGGGGAATCCCCAAAAAATGTAGTGTGTTTTTAACTCTCATTCAGTTTGTGTCTTGATTAGGTAAATAATTTCAAAATTCAAAATTTAATTAGTTTCAATGGATAAATTCCTTTTCCTGTTACTTAACAATATGTTATTGGTCTGTTTGCTGGGTAAGTTAATCCAATTTAAGAGCAAGTTAATCCCTTTCGAATTTCGACTTCTCGATTTCGAGTTAATCCAATTTAAGAGCAAGTTAATCCCTTTCGAATTTCGACCTATTTGACAGTCTTTGGAGTGCAGGGCAATTGCCGAATATCCCAGCATATGGTGGAGAATTCGAATCGCATTTTCACCTATCGCGATGCCAGTGGATCTCTACAGCTTCAGCGAACGGAAATTGTTCCAACTGGAGTCACTCTGTTCATGTACTGCAATCCATCGGATATGGTGGAAACTCAATGCCAAGAAAATGGACAGTTCTCGGTTCCGTTACCAATGAGATGCGGAAACCCATTGCAACCGAAGACCACACGGATCCGGGATAACGGTTGTTCGGGAATGCTTTATTCGGTGGGTTATACGATAGATGGGAAAAATCTGGAACTATATCGCACCTGCTTTGATGCCGGACAAGGAAGGGTTTTATACTCAGAGAGCGATGTCTACTTTAAGACATTTTGTAAGTGAATCTCTGATTATTTTTACACTCTTTACTGAAGTAAAGTAAAGGTGTATATTATATTTAAATAGATGATCATTATTAATAGTAGACTTACAGACTCACAAATGAGCAGCAAACAAGAATTTATACAACTCAGTATTATATAGAGTATACCACAATTTTAATTTGATTTTGGTTATTTTCTTTTATAATCACAATAGGATAACTACTCTAATATAAAGAATATGCAAAATTATTTATTTTCGAACTTATAATTCAATTCGCTACGATAAATTATAATACACTATTGCTTCTCTTGTTTCCAAAAACTTTTGCGCTGAAGTTTTCTGATCCAAACCAAAATTCGAACAACAAACAAAAAAAATTATACGATTATACTATTATCGGTTTCTTCCAAATATATTATATAACCTTTAAACTATTCATATTAATCCTTGCTTTGTTTCAAACAGTTCCCAGAAGACCCTTTGTTGATTTCGTGGCCGATGAGATGTTCAGTCCCATGGAGGCCGCTGCCTATATGAAGTCCAACATATACTTTGCCTTCCAATGCATTTATGGCAACGACCAGTCCTACTTGCCAAGTGCCCATTCCTTGGTGATTAATCGAGGTCATCTGGTGGCTTCGGCGGACTTCCTTTTTGTGGACCAAATGGGCAGTACCTTTCGCTACCTGAATGTGGTGCCGCAAATCAAATCGATCAACGATGGAAACTGGGAGAAAATAGAGAGGTGGGTGCGCAGTCAGATTCCCCAGTCGAGTTATTTCCGAGTTAAGTCCGGCGGAATTGGAACTTTGACCTTACCGGATTCAAAAGGCGTCTTTCAACCGGCATTTCTCGCTGGATCCAAGATCCCAGTTCCCGAGTGGACCTACAAAATAGTTCGAGATGCCAGTGGCAATGGACTTTTCGTCTTCCTCACCTACAATAATTCCTTTCAGCGGGAGAGGCCACCTTGCTTGAATATTTGCCATCCAGTTAACTGCCCCATTGGTCTTCCAAATAACCCTGTTGATGGATTCACCTTCTGTTGCGATCCAAGAAGTTTCCCACTCTGAAAGAGGGGATGTTCATGGCATATTTTACCAAAGGACTAGGCCAAATCGACTTGCGTAATAATCGTCGGCTGAATAATTTAGTATTTTTATTTAACAGACGCACATTAAATTTGCCTAAGGATATACACTGCGAAAAGGTACTTTGAAAATAAAGAATTAATAAGAAATAACAACACATTTTGTAGGACATTTTGTTGATTTAAAATGCAAGAAGTTCGGTTTTAATATTCTGTTTAAAGTTTTAATTAATATAATAAAATTCTTTTTAATTATTGAGTTATTAAATTCTAAACAATTGTAATTGATTTTTAAAATAACTTTGTTGTATTATGATTGCTATCGCTTTGGATACAAGATATTCAATTTTTAACGTCCACTTTTGAAGTTATTAATTACCTCAATGAAAACCACACCAGATCGATTAGCCAACCATAAGGAACCTCTAACGACATTTTAAACGTTTTGAAAAGAGCAATAAAAGCACTCGACACAGCAAAAGCATCTACAAGTTTTAAGAAAAACCAAGTAAAATGAGCCAAGGAGCGGCAATCTTTTACGAAGGCCAAAAAACCTTATTAAACGTCTTTTCTCTGTGGCCCCAAAAGGATCGCTTTTGGAGAAAGATCCACCAGTTGAACTACATTCAACTCATGGGATTTTGGGTGCTGTTCTTCAACATTATTCTGCTGATGCACGTTTTGGCCAACTTGGATAAGATGGCCGAGGTTGTGAGGGCCATCTTTGTGCTGTCCACCACTGCAGCACATACCACAAAGCTGCTGTGCCTCAAGGCCAACAATGTGGAGCTGGAGAAGCTCTTCAAACGTCTGGACAATGAGGATCTCCGACCAAGAGGATCCGAAGAGGAGTTGATCTTTGCAGAAGCCTGTGAAAGCAGTCGCAAAGTTCGAAATGGCTATGGATTCCTCTCGTTGGCCGCCTTGTGCATGATCCTTATTCCGCAATTCGTCCTGGATCGATCCCATCTGCCACTGGGCACCTACAATCCCTTCGGCGAGGATCCCAGTTCACCTGGGTACTGGCTTTTGTACATCTATCAGTGCGCCGCGCTGGGTGTGTCCTGTTTCACCAATATTAGCTTCGATTCCTTGAGCTCCTCGCTGTTCATCTTCATCAAGTGCCAGCTGGATATCCTGGTGGTTCGATTCGAGAAGATGGGTCGGTGGAACAGTTCCGATGGCTCTGTGGAGCAGGAACTAAAGCAAAATATCCGATTCCACATGACCATCGTGGATTTGACAAGGGACGTGGAACGCCTGCTTTGCAAGCCCATTTCGGTGCAGATCTTTTGTTCGGTGTTGGTTCTCACCTCCAATTTTTATGCTATAGCTTTGGTGAGTGTCTAAAGCTATAAGTCTTTTTGTTCAGAATCAGATAAGGTTACTTTTTAATTGAACGATTTTCAAAAAATATAATATGATATCCTTAGACTTTGCTATACAAATAAATTCAACGTTGGGGTAAATATATTTTCGAATCTATTACTAAGCAACAACAATTTCGAAACTTGAAAACTAGAAATTAATTGTCCTAAATCAAAATTAAAATGGTGGAATTCGTTGCTTTTTTATGTTTCCGAAATCATATTTAATGTACATTTTCTTCTTCTATGTTAAAATTACAAAATAGATCAGGTGATATGTTAAGTTAGTAAATTATTTTAATTAATTTTTTACAATGTTAATTTAGTTATCCGACGAAAAGGTTTGTTACCTATCAGGCGTGCATGCTGAGCCAGATCTTCATACTGTGCTACTATGCCGGGTAATTAGGATATATATTGTAAATCCACTGCAGATTAGTAATCACGTTTTCTCAATAGTGAGGTGACCCATCGCAGTTTGAACCTTTCCCATGAGCTTTACGGAACGACCTGGGTGAACTGGAATCGTTCCAACCGGAGGATTGTTCTTCTTTTCATGCAACGCCTCCACTTTCCCCTCAGAATCAGGACTCTAAATCCCAGCCTTGGTTTTGATTTAATGCTCTTCAGTTCGGTGAGTAATTTTCCTAGTCCTAATCCTTTTTTCCACTGTAGCCAATTTCCATAATGAGCCTCATTGATGTAAGTGGCCTATAAAAGGCTTTTGTCAAGGGGGTTTTGTTGTAAAAGTGAAAATCGCCAGCATGAATCAGCATCAGATGGTAACGGAGGACTTCTACAAGTACCAGTTTTTGTACTTTCATGTCCTGGGAGTTTGGAGACTTCCTGCGAGTGCATCAGATCAGGATCGCCGCCTTCAGTCCATTCGATTTGGTTTCATCCTGGTTGTCCTGTTCATCATGCTGCTGCTTTTCGCCATGGAACTCCTGAATAATATTTCCCAAGTGCGAGAGATCTTGAAAGTGTTTTTTATGTTTGCCACCGAAATTTCCTGCATGACAAAGTTATTGCACATGAAGTTGGAAAGCCAGAAACTCGGTGATTTGGTAGATATGATGTTATCCTCAAAGTTCGCCATTAAAACTGAACAGGAAAGGGAAATTTTGGAGTCGGCTAGAGTGGCGGTTGTGCACATGAGAAACTTTTATGGCATTATGTCAATTGGAACTGCTTCATTGATCCTTTTGGTTCCATTTTTCACAAACTTTGAGGAGCTCCCATTGGCCATGTTTGATGTTTGCAACATCGAGGGAATGATGTGTTATTGGTTGCAGTACCTTTTCCACTGCATTTCCCTGCTGCCCACTTGTGTCCTGAATATAACCTACGATTCGGTGGCATTTTCCTTGCTCTGCTTTTTGAAAGTGCAACTGCAGATTTTGGTGCTCAGATTGGAGAAACTGGGTCCTGTGATTGAGCCAAAGGATAATGAGAGAATAGCTTGCGAAATACGTGAATGTGCTGGCTACTTCAATAACATTGTGAAGTTCAAGAATCTAGTGGAGCTATTCATCAAAGTGCCAGGATCCGTGCAGCTTATGTGCTCCATTCTCGTGCTGGTCTCCAATTTATATGATATGTCCACCATGTCGATTTCGAATGGGGATGCCATTTTTATGGCCAAGACCTGCATCTACCAGTTGGTGATGCTCTGGCAGATCTTCATCGTTTGCTATGCCTCCAATGAGGTGACTGTTCAGAGTTCCAAGCTCTGTCACAGCATCTACAGTTCCCAGTGGACAGGATGGAACAGGCCGAACCGACGGATCGTCCTCCTCATGATGCAGCGATTTAATTTACCAATGCGCATTCACACTTTGAACCCCACCTTTATTTTCAGCTTGGAGGCCTTCGGTTCCGTAGGTCACCAAAAATTGGGTTGATATGAGTACATCTAATTAAGATTCTTTTTTTCAGATTGTGAACTGCTCCTACAGCTACTTCGCTTTGCTAAAACGAGTCAACAGTTAGATTTCAAAAAATTTAGAAGTTCAAAAACACAAAAAAGGATATCAACTTTATATTACACAACAGCATAAAATTGATCGGCTTACAAAACAGAACAAAAATATTTAGGTAAGTACTTTTTTTTTAAGTTTTTTTTATTGAACTAAATATGTCTTTCTAAATTTTACAGCTATTTGTTCAATGTGCTTAATTACCAAATTAAATAAAAACATGCCATTTTGAAAAAGTGTGTAGATACACATGTGCTTTTCTCTAATATATGTTAATAATCATAAACAATGTTCATAGCAAATAAATATTTAAAGCACTTTTGCACCGAAATCGTATTTTATCCAAATTTGAATAGCGGGTAACGGTTAAGTTTAAAATGTTTTTGAGGTTCGCAAAAAATACTAGACTTGCTAAAAAATACTAGACTTGCGGTGGAAGCAAAACGGTATACCCCAAAAAGGTGCCTAAAATGCCATAACGCCTCAAAATTCGCTGACGGACAAAGATTAAGATGTCGGAAAACGCTCAAAACAATAGCTGCCTGCATTGTTCCGTATTTAATACGAAATACCAGTACCAGGAGATATTCGATGAGTTTGGGATTGAACTGGGACTACAGTCCCTGCTGGCCAAGCACTTCAACATCGATGTGTCCCCCGATCCGCAAAAACAACAGCTCCTCTGCGAGGTGTGCGTCAATAATCTCATCCGCCTCTTCGACATCGATGAATTGGAAAGGGAAAGGGACCGAAAAAGGGACGCGCCAAACGATGTGGTTCAGAATGACGAGCCCGAGCAGAAGGAACCTGTTATCATTACAGAGGTTGCGGCACCAGCTCCAGTTGCAAAGCCTACCAAGAAGTCTTCGCATCCAAAGCCGCTGACCAAGATCCTGCGTCCTGTGCCCCTGGCACCCACCCGGGAACCAAGTGCCCGTCTCAGGAAAGTGGCAGTTATAGAATCCCAGACAGCACCTGGTCTATCTACACCTATAAGCCGAAAAAACAGTACGGTCCACAATGCGAATTCCATTAAAAAGGAAGACAAGCCAGCTCCCAAGGACGTAGATCAGGAGCAGATCAATGTTCTTATACAAAATATCCTTTCTGCCGATGAGGTTATTACCGAAGATGACGCTATTGCCGAAGAGGTGGCTGCGGAAGTAATTCAGACCTCCGAAGAAACGGAAACTTCTGGGGAAATGGTTATCCTAAACAATGAATCCGCGTCGGAACCCCTTCTAGATGAGCATGTCTATATATACGAGCATGAGGGTTGGTTTATCATTGTTTATAACCATTATTTAACCATAAGATATAACCAAAAATCTCCATTTCAGATATCTTGGATCCGAATTCAGAGGAGGTAAAGGTCAAGCCACTGGTTCGTTCATCAAGAAAGGTGGAAAAGGAGGAAAGCCAAAGCGAAGGGGAAATTGACGAGGGAGAAAGCAACATAATTCTTTTCAACTTTGTTGATATCAAAGAAAGTGCGTATAAATCGTCTGAATAAAAAGTACCCCTAATACCTTATTATCTTTCTTTAACAGAGGATGACATTGGTGACCTTTCGGAGTACCTGTCCACTGTGGTAAAGACCAGCTTTGAGAAGCTTACATTTGAGTGGTGCACGGTGTGCAAACATTGCTCTCTGAAGTGTCCCACTTTTGAGATCCTCTTCAATCACATTCTAAAGAGACACAAAAGCCGAAGAGCTGTCTACCAGTGTCCAATTGAAGGCTGCAGTAAGGAGTTAAAGGGACCCCAATTTCTGGCCATGCACTTGGTTCTATTACATGCACCTGTGGCAGAGTAAATAAGTTTAGCTCAAACCATCTGTTTACAATCTAATAATGGTTTGCTTTTTGTAGAATTCCGATTTACGGCAGCTGTCCAGAGTGTAAAATGACATTCTCCAACATTTTGCAGTACAACAAACACTCGTGTGCCCATGTCATTAAAAAGAAAAGAGGCATTCGCTCGTTTTGCGAAATGTGCTCCATTGAGTTTCCATCATGGAAGAGGTATGCCGACTTATTAATCTCTTTTAAGTAAAAATATTTAATACTAATTGTTTATCCCTATAGATTTAATTTTCACAACCAATTTCATTTGGAAAGGCACAGACCTCGTGCATGTTTCGTCTGTGATTATGCCAACACCAATATCGATGAGCTTTTCCAGCATTTAAATTACGCCCATGAACCTGTGGGCACTTTATTTTGCGATCTGTAAGCAGGCCTTGTTTGCATTTTATATAGGTCTTCCATTAAAGAATTTTATTCCTTCCAGTTGCGACCGAACTTTTCGGGATCAGGCAGTTTTTATGGAACACAACAAGTCGCATGCCAATGTTAGTAGTACAACCTACTCTTGCGGCGAATGTATGGCAAACTTTGAGTCGCGAGGACGATTGAATGGGCATATGGTAAAGTTTAGTCTTAACATCTTATTAATCATATTTCAATTTCATGTATCAACTACTGGTTTTCTCAATTTCAGAGAGCCATGCATGGCACTGTTATAAGTTGCGAGCTATGTTCACGTGAATTTGCCACTGAAGCCTCCTACAACATTCATATGAAGAAGCATTTGATCATAGAGAGAGATGTTCACGTATGCAGCCAGTGTGGCTTGTTGAGTGACAGCCGGGAAGTCTTGCTTGCCCATGCGGATTTAGTGAAGTCTCCCTGTTTTGGCACTAAAATTTACATGGAACTGCTACGCGATGCATACGTTTGCGAGTACTGCTCCTCTTACTTTAAGGAAAAGGCAAATCTTCAAGCACATCGAGACTCGGGAGTACATAAGGATGGATTGTACTGGTGTCAGCCGTGTGGCAAAGATTTCCCCCACATGAAGCTGTACCGTCATCATCTGCGAAACTATCAGCAGCTGCGAACGGACTCAACGCATCGGAAGCTAGAGATTTGTGTCTTTTACATGTGCGATCAGGAGGTAAGACGCTTACCGTTTGTTCTTAAAATATTTAAAATTCAATAATCTTTGACTGCAGAACTGTTCTGAAGCTTATATAAACTGGAACTCATTGTACACGCACAAAAGGCGCACCCACGAATCAGCAAACAAGCAGGCCGATAAACCCTCAAAGGCCCCTCAAGAATGGATTTGCCAGTTTTGTTCAAAGGAGTGCCGCTCCAAAATGTCCTTGTCTGTTCATGTGGCAAGGAGCCACAATAACGGTTGGTGTTATGTTTTATAAATGAATAACTTGACTTAATCGTTTCACTTCAAGATAACGTGGTTTGTCCTTTGTGCAATGCCTCGTACAAAGGAAAGGAAGCTCTGGCCCAGCATCATGCTTATTGGCACGAACCCATCGAGTGCCCTCAGTGTTTCAAGATTGTAAAAAATCGAAGGAATTATGATACTCATGTAAATGTGGTGCATTCAAACAAGAAGCGATATTCGTGTAGCGTTTGCCAGAAGGGTTTCTATCACAGAAGTGAAATGGAGGCGCATCAAAAGGTGATTATTACATCAAATCTATAGTTGGTTTTTAAATTATCCAATCCTTCCTGCAGCTTCATGGCCAGTCTTACAATTGCGACCAGTGTAGCTTCGTCACCAAAAACAAAAAGTCCCTTTCAGTTCACATTCTCGGTCAGCATTATAAGCGTTTTGCCTTTGAGTGCAAAACTTGTAAGAAGAGGTTTGGTCGACGTCAGGGCCTAAATACTCACATGCAACGAGCCCACGGATCTAGTTATAAGTGCCGGGATTACTGCGAAGGCGGCTGTGGACGCGTATTTGTAAATAGTTCCCAGTTGAACGTACATGTGCGGAAAGTGCACAATGGCGTTATTTTCCTTCAAGAGGATGTAGTCGAAGAGGAAGAATATAACAGCGATGGCCCATCCACATCCAAAAAGCGATGCATTCGAATCAACAATGACAATATTGAGTTTGTGGAAGGCGACGAAGATGATCCTGATGTTATTGAGATGGAAGAAGGAGACGAGGTTAAGGATGAATTTCTTGCGGAAACACAAGATGAAGAGATTAATAATTGAGGCAGACACTTTTCCATAATGTAAGATTTGTTGCTAAAGCAGATTTATTTAATTTGTTTTTTATTTGTTTTTGCTACCAATTATTTGAACACAAATGATGTCCGAAAATGACATTAATATGTATTCCATAGTACATAATATATTATTCTAATGATAATGTAATAGCTACATTTAGGCTAACTTCAATAGCAATTAACTAGCCAGAGTCTGGCGGAAGCAAATTTGATTTATTAAGCGTTGTAGTTTGGTCATTTAATTGCTGAAGATTGTGTGCGGAGCTTACCTGAAATTGATTTTAAGTTTTAATTAAAGCATTCCCGAGGGAATTAAATAGAAATCTATTGACTTACTGGGCTAATTGGTGTTATAACAATTGCGGTGCGCGTTGCGCACTGCAGAAGGGCCGTGTCCTCAGTGGACTCATCACAGTCGCCATCGGCATCCGCGTCCACATCCACTTCCACCCCAATATCACTGTCGATCTCCCAGGAGGGGAAATGGTCCATTTCGCCCTCGCAGTTCAGATCCTCCTCCTCGAAGTCCTCGTACTCATCGATTAGTATAACTAAACGGGAGATTTTGTATGTTTAATTATGATCTAGTTAAATTATAAGTTTTCGTAACGCAGATAAAGTTTAAAACTACATATATAAACAAATTAGATATTTAGAGGTTTTAATATATATATTCCATTTAAGATTAATCTTATAATTTAAATCAAAAGCATGCCAATTTTTTCTGTTTACGGATAGCCAAATTAGTTGTTAAATAAAACCAATTCATAAAAGTCGGCAAATTATAGCATTTTAAGTTTTTATTCATGTTTTCTTTTGTTCGGCAAGCAATGGTTCTAGTAATCTAAATTAAATAATAATAATGATCCAGTGAACCCAAAATAATTTAGATTTGTGGTGGTAGGGATGCAGTAAAAATCAAGAGTAAATTTGATTTTAATTACTTGAACTATCTGGCGGCGTTGGCTTTGCACTGCTGTCCAGGGATTCAGCTCCCTCATCGGGTATATTGATCCGCTGCTCCTGCTTGCTATACGGTTCCGATGTGGACCTATGTAGGCTGCAGAATATAAGGCATAAAACCTCGTTAAATATATAATTGATATAAATGTTAAAGAGGAGCACTCACCTTAACGTAACACGTTTTTTGGTTCTATTCTCTAATTCAGTCATAAAAACATCATTGTGCTGCTGCTTCTCAGACCCCAGCTGATATGAGTTAAGCACGGAAGACTGTAGTTAATTTAAAAATATAGATTTTAGTTTGTAATTAATTAATTTTTATGTATTAAATACCTTTGTATTGGTCGCTGTATGCTGCATGTGCGGCGGCATTGGGGTTTGTGTGGCGATCGCATCGGTTGTTGTGGTGGCCGTTTGCGTGGCCGTCAGGGATCGCAGCTCGGAGCCATCGGTCACCGAGGGATTCACCAGCGGTGTGGTGGTCACCTGCTCCGGATGGACACTGAGTGCCGCCGTCCGTTTCCACACATCGATCATCGCCAGATTGTGGGCGTGGTGCAGGGGCTTGTGGCTAGGACTAATGGAATGTATTTTGGGCTTGGCTGGCAGCGGAAGAGCCAGGAATCTATCACGATCCTCCATGTACGCCTTGATCAGCACGTCCAGCTTCTCTTCGATATCAGCGACCTATTCAAGTTGGTAGAAAATAAATGATATCAAGGGTTTTATATACATACTAGTTGACCCGACAGACTTCGTCCTGTCAAAAAGATTTGTAATGTGGCAGTTTTTGTGCCTACGTATTTAAAAAAAATCTCCTAAACAGAACCGTCACCCTGTAATAGGGCGTTGTGAATAAAAAATAATTTAATAAAACATATATAAGGATTTAAAAGTATGTAATCGCTTTATTGTTAATCATGTGAATCATAATTTTTATTATTATCATTGTAGTGCTTTGTGGTATACGATGTTTTTTGTTTGATTACCTGGCGCATAGATAAACAAATCTGATGGTTTTCCAACACGGGAACAGGCAACATACAATTGACCATGTGAGAAACATGGGTTCTCTAGATGTATCATGTTTTTGATAACTACCTCATGCAATCCAGGATCTACTTGTACATTAGGGATTTCAGCTGATATCACTGCATCAACTTCATTTGGCCTTATCTTTTCAACCAACCAAATCAAAATGTGTGCATGTGGCAATCCTCGTTTCTGCCACTCCACAGAATACATCCAGCAGCGTGTCTCACCAAACACATTATGTTTTACGATGAAATCCATTAAAGATTTTAACTTTTGTCCAAAGACTCTGGCTGTAATATCATGACGATCAATGGGTGATTGCCCAGAGAATAACTCCTGCTTGATTTCTATCCATTGCGGATTGCATGTAAATGTGATGAACAAATCTGCTGTACCATAATGACGAACATACGACATGGCATCTTGAGCATATTCGTGCATATGCCGTGGGCTTCCGATGTATGTTGATGGAAGAATAGTCATCCGACCGACATTCTGTGCATTTCCATCAGTATTAATCGCATCTCGAAGGTGAATATACTCTTCAGATCGAAGTTTGGTTTGATTCAACCTGATGAATGTTGAAAGTTGGCATAAAATTTTCCCGAACTACATTTGTTGCCCCAAATGAAGACATTTGAAAACAATTGTTATATTGTTGGATATGTGTCAAAAAGTGTATAGATTCTGTTCCTATTCCTGAAACCAATGAGTACAATGGTTCTGGTGGTGGATCCAATGGTATCAATTTCACTTTACCATTTGCGCAACACAATCCTTTGGCTTCGTTTTTGTATTTTAATGCCTTACAGTTTGAGCAAACGTAGTTCATAGAACCAATAACAACACATTGGTAGTTACTGTAGTCAATTGACACATCGTAACTGAAAGCAGCTCGATTCAAACTTGCGCGATTATTAGTTGAATGTCGCGCTCGCGCTTCACGCGTTTGTGATATCCGAATTCTTTCACGTTCATTTACGTATTCACGTTCTTGTGCAGTACGATTAGATCGGTAATTAGACTGGTTTGTAGCATTTCTGGTTCTTCTACCTAAATTGCTTCGTCTTATAGCAGGCATTATTTTTTCACTACTCACAAACAAAACACTTTTTTTTTATAAAAACTTTGATAAAGCAAACCTTTTTACTTAAAACCAAATGCCTACTGCCTACCCCATAAGAACGATTGCGTAATTACATACAACATTGTGTACATCTGTTAAGCCGCTAGCGACTTTTCCAGAAGGTTTTCCCATAATTTTCTTATGCTACAACCTTCTTCTTGTTCTAAGCTATCTCCCTACCAATTTTCAGCCAAATCGGTCAAGCCGTTTTCATGTGATGCGCTTACCAACACATTTTGCGATTCATTTTTATACCCTTGCAGAGCAAAAGGGTATTATAATTTCAGTCAGAAGTTTGCAACGCAGTGAAGGAGACACCTCAGACCCCATAAAGTATATATATTCTTGATCAGCATCACGAGCAGAATCGAAATCCGTCTGTACGTCTGTCCGTCTGTCCGTCTGTCCGTCTGTCCGTCTGTCCGTCTGTCCGTCTGTCCGTCTGTCCGTCTGTCCGTTTCCGCGCAAACTAGTCTCTCAGTTTTAAAGCTATCGTGCTGAAACTTTCCCAAAAGTTGTGTAGTGTTTGCACGCAGTATATAAGTCGGAACGGGCCGGATCGGCCGACTATATCGGATAGCTCCAATACAAGAGAATGAAATAAAAAATTCTCACTTTGTTGTTTTTGATCAGATCGACTTGAATTCTTCAAGATGGCGTTTTCTAACTGTTATTGAATTTCGGATTAAATTTGAACAAAATCGGATAACTCTATCATATAGCTGCCATAGGAGAGATCGAAAAATATATATAGAATTAATGGAAATAAATTGATAGCATCGTTGTTTTCTATCCCACGAGCTTGATTTTTTGAACATCAAGTTTTTTAACAACCCTTATATTGAGAAAAAAGTTTCATAAAAATCGGACGACTATATCTTATAGCTGCCATAGGAAAGATCGAAAAAACTATATAGATTTGTTTATAAATAAAATGATAACATCGTTGTTTTTCATCAGACAAGTATGATTTTTGGAGTATAGAGTTTTCTTACGACTCTTGAATTACGAATTAAATTTGATCAAAATCGGACAACTATATATATATGATCTATAGTCGAAAATATGGAAAATGAATAGAAAAATCGTCTTAGCTTCGATGTTGTTTAACCTTTATGCAGTTTGTTCGACATATTTGATGACTGCAAGGGTATATAAGCTTCGGCTTGCCGAAGCTAGCTTCCTTTCTTGTTATATATAAGATAGGTATTTTAGAACTAAGCCTTACCTGCCGCTCAACTTTAACCACACGGGAGGCTAAGCTTATTTTGGATGCATACACATCCTTTGCCTTGGAGCCTTGTTTGCCCAGGATTTGATCCAAGCTGTGGTTATGAGAGTATTAAATTTAAATTACTTAGGTTGTTATTATTATTCTTACCGCAAATGTAGCATTTTAACGCGACCCAGCAAGTCCACGTGCCCTGAAATACAGAAATGTTTAAATAGATATTGCTTACTAAACAAGAGATAAAAATTGTATATTTTAAATAAGAAAAGGGTAATAATTTCAAAAAAATTAAAAACCTTTTAGTAAATTAAAGCCTTCTTTGAGGTAAATTGTTTTTAAATGTTTAAAAATATGTCAAGTTGCGTTTCATGGAGTTCATAAGTAAAACTCCTTGTGTAGATGAAGTTTTTAAAAATTCCTGACTATTTTTCCATATTTATATCTTTGTAATAAATCATCAAATCTTTTTTTTTTTTATTTTTGGGTGTAGCTTTTAACTTTTACTCACCGGCGGCATATTGCTCCATGACATCCTTGACGTCGTAGGGTTTCAAAGCCTCCTTGAACTTCCGTCGCGCCACAAAGTACTTGAGCTGTTCGAGAAATAAAAGTTTTTCTTTCAGATTTAATC